TGGTCACATCCTCCTTAATGACGTAAGTCCATTATTGTAAATTCTTGTGTTTATTAAAATTTCTGTTTTGTTTGGTTCTGGTTTTTTGTCTACCTCTTGGTATATGACTCAAATGAAAGATTCCATATAGAAAATAGTTTGTAAACTGTGTAAAAAAAAAGCCCCTCCAATTTGGATCTACCTTTGGTTAAAAATCAAAAAGGAGCTGTCCAAAACTTCAGAGAAAATAATCTCACTGAAATATATATATTTTAAAGATTTATTTATTTTTATTGGAAAGGCAGATATAGAGAGAGGTGGAGAGACAGAGCGGAAGATCTTCTGTCCAATGGTTCACTCTCCAAGTGACCGCATGGCTGGAGCTGAGCCAATCCAACACCAGGAGCCTCTTTTGGGTCTCCCACGTGGGTACAGGGTCCCAAGGCTTTGGGCCATCCTCGTCTGCTTTCCCAGGCCACAAGCAAGGAACTGGATGGGAAGTAGAGCCGCTGGGATTAGAACTGGTGCCCATATGGGATCCCAGTGCATTCAAGGCAAGGACTTTAAGCACTATGCTATCATGCTGGGCCCTGAAATACTCTTAATTCCCAGTCATTTCAATGGACCAAAATGGTTCTCAAGGAAGAGAGGAATTACATTCTGATAACCAGGGCGATGAGATGAGCAAAGGATACCAGACAAGTGGAGAAAGGCTCACATACACAATATATACATCAGGAATCTCTAGTTACCAAAAGCTATAGCTTCTCCTGATACTGCTATAGACTCAACAGGTAGGCAGAATACTGAACTGCTCCTAAGTCGCAGACTGCACTTGTAAGCTTTAGCAGCAAACACGCTGACCATAGATTTTGAACATCCTGTTAAAGGGTACTATACTTACTCAATTAACCCACAGAATATATTGGTTAGAGAAAGATGAATTTGCTCAAAGTATAAATGAATCAAGTGGCCCTGATTAATTAACCTGCCACTATATATTCCACATATTTTTGAAGTCAGAAGTACTAAAAAGGCTGGCTATATTCTTGTACTGAAACGAAAACCAACAATACTAAATGCTGATGAGGGAATGGGGACCCACTAGAATCGGGTAGATCACTGGTAGAAATACCAAATGGAACAGTTTTGGAAAACGATTTGCTCCCTTCTGATAAATTAAACATCACTTACCATATGACCCAGCTATCCCACTAAATTCCAAAATGGCAACAGAAATAGAAGCGTATGTCCACACACAAAAAGATCCGTATGTGAATATTTATGGCAATTTTATTCATAAGTGCCAAGAATTTGGAATGACTCAAATATCCACTAAGCTTTTGTCACATCCACCCAAGGAAACATTGCTCAACAATAAATAGGAAGAAACCAATGAGATGTGCTTTAATCCCAAAAGTATTCCAGTAAAGTGGAAGAAGTCCAAAACAAGAGGATACAAAGGGAGGGAGAAGAGAGGAGGCAGAAGAGATCATATTCCACAGATGCAAGGTTCTGTGGGGAGAGAAGAGTTCCTGCAAAGCAGAACCAGGAAATTAGTGAATAAGCCAAACAGCACCCAGCGCTTACATGCCTGCTGCACCTGCCTAGCTCCTAGCACCCCTTTATTTACATCTTGGGGCTTCCCCCGAGGTGAAATCAGCTGCTCAAGTTCCCAGAGGTAAGACTTTACACAAATTATTTGGTGTTTCCGAATCTGCTTTCTCCATACAGTTCACATGAATGCTTAAAGGTATCCAATGAGCTCAGAGTAAAGCAATCGCATGGCTGACCCTCTCTTCTTCCAAAGGGAGCTGAATGATATCAATAAGCCACCAAGCGGCTTTCTAGACGTCATTCCTAAAATCCATCAGTTTGCCTTTAGCCAGGCTGCAGAGCAATTCACAAGACAAGATCCACAAGAATGCACGTGGCACCTAGGAACAGCCCTTCGCTGACTTCTCATCTGTCCCTACAACAATCTGCTCCCCCAAAGGAATGTTCAGCTCCTATCAAGTCAGTATCTTTCTGGCCTACCACTCTAAGTGGCCGCCACTTAGACTCAACACACATCGAGACCTCTCCTTTCAAGGCCTGAATTCCTCAGTTCGTTCATTTTGTCTTCTATGCATTCCTGTGAACTTGAATGCCTACATTATCTGTTTCACTCTGCCTAACACACAATGAAAGCTTGCTGATGCAAGTGACTACACTGGAATTTTCAAAATAGATACAGGAGAGACTTGAAGGAACAATGAGTATTTGAAGACATTACCCATGATTTGGGGGAGTTTATGACAGGATTAGAACCCTTGTCTGAATTCTGCTCTCAAAATGGAGTATGTGGGAACCACCACAAGCCATAAATCAAAAATAATTAGCCAGTAGAGACACAGAAAATAATGCAATGGCTCTCAATATACCCTCAAAAGTGATAGTCTGTCAGTTCACTGGTGATAAGGATACAGCTGGCTGTCTTTATTATCACACACTTTAGACTAAGATTTCTAGATAACTCCAATCTGGACAATTCTGAGATGGCTCTGCTAGAAAGCATCAGAAAGAAAACAAGCAAGCATGCAAACAAAGCATCTTTAACCAACTTGCTCATCGATAGGCTTATTCTTCAGAGTGACTGCAAGGGAATCTTTCAAAAGACCAAATGCATTTCTTCAGAAGAATTCACATTGTCAATCACATTTCCCAAAATTCCTGTTTTGTGACTAGTCCATTTATTTTCCACTTTCCAGCAATTTTTCTTGGTGAAGCCCATTTATTCACCATAACTTGAGAGCAGCACTTCTGTAATGATTTTTTGTTAAGGTTGTCTCTACAGACTAGCACTAGGAACAAACCCAGGCAGGAGAAAAACCAATACTTTCTTGTTCAAAGTGTCCATAGTGGCAACTGTGTTCACGTGGGGATCATCTACCATCTTGTCAGCTTAGAGAAGCAGGCAGGGACAGACTCTGGGTAAGTTTTATTGTTGTTGTTTTGTTTTTGTCTTGATGTGCTATTTCCTCATGGGATGGTCATTTCCCCTCTAGCTCTTCCTAAAGGGATATTAGTCTTTTGATCTCCTGCGTAAAATCTACTCTTCACATCAGACAGCACCTGAGTAGGTCGTCCGGCTGTGACAGGACCGTTACAGTACTGACGGACAAAACAACAACAAACAGTACCAATGGACAGCATGTCCCGCCTTCACATGGGTCCAAGCACATCAAGCAGGTGGATGTCCAGAAACCACCAATTCTCCTCTTCATTTCTTCAGCCCTGGGGCTGACCCAAAGACCTTCAGTCTTTTTATCTGGGAGAACAGTTTTCCTTCATTTCTTCCAATTCATTTCCCTCTCCATCACACTATTTCAAAAAGCTTAAAAACATCCTTCCTAGTGCAGAAAATTGGCCTACCAGGTGGGATGCCAGTTAAGATGATTGTATTGGGTTTGATTCCTGCCTCCAGCTCTTGATTACAGCATCCCACCAATGCAGACAGCAGCAGCAGCAGTGTTGCCTCAAGCCATTAGGACTCTTACCCATCGAGTTCCTGGCTCCTCGCTGCAGCCTGTCCCAGCACTAGCTGTAGTCATTCGAGCAATCAAAGCCTGTCTCTCAGTCCTTGTGCCTCTTGAATCAATAGTTTTAGATTGTTAATGTTCCTGCAGTGACCCTCGCACAGCTTCCTTTCTTCATGAGTATATCTGCAGTGTACCTGGGCTGGGGTTTTGTTTAGAGCAGCATTAGTGATTGTTCTCTCCCTAGCCTAGCTTGTTCCAATCATGTTGTTGGAGAACTTTATTTCAACTCCTGTTCATTTACATGTGGAGTACTAGTAACCTCTAGCACAATGCATCTTTTGGGCCTATTTTTCTATTACTGGTTAATGTACCCCTTGACTTGCTACAGCTTTGCCATTCCCTACATTACGAATTCTCCATGGTAAGGTCAGTACTGTGTTTCAGGTTAAGTCACTGTTGGTGCTGGTTCAAGTCCCAGCTGCTCCACTTCCAATCCAGCTCCCTGTTAATGTGCCTGGGAAAACAACAGAGGATGGTCTAAGTAGTTGGGCTCTTACATCAATGTAGGAGACTTGGAAGAAATGCCTGGCCCAGTTCTAGCTGCTGAGTCCATTTGGAGTACATTTGGGAGAATCAGTGGATGGAAGGTTCTCTAACTCTGCCTTCCAAGTAAATACATAAATAAATCTGGAAGAACACATGTCTTCTTAATTTGCTGCTCAATTTTTAGACCCAGTAACAGTTGAAAAAACCATCTACAGTACTGATTTAAATAAGCACCCGGATTTTGTTTGGGGACTCTTGCTTTCTAGTTTTGAAACATCTTACAAACTACCAACTCTTACTGGATTTTCAGATCTTTCCCTAAGGTTTCTCTGATGCTGGCAACTTGTTGTCAGACTAGAGTCTGTCCCTTGCCTCTTCTGCACATATTTCCCAGCCATCTGCAATGTGCAGAGCTTCTGTTCTCAGGAGGCTTCCATTTTGTCATGAGACAGTCTTGGAAAAGTGATGGCCAAGGCTGATACTCATGGGTAAGCTAAAGTGTGGTGGTCTCAAAATGGTCATTTCTGATGAGCTCAAAGATCAGAAATACACAACACACAGTAGCTACATTTTTAAAAATCATCACTGGTCTAAGTGGTGTCCACACTTAGCATAATCAAAACATTTAAAATATTATCTGGAGGTATTCTAGATTAGAAGAGGCATGACACTCAAATGCGCATCCTTGGATATGAAACAAATAGGCAGCAAGGACAGTGTTGGTACCAACTGGGGGATGTAACTGTGGACTGCATGCCAGATAACAATACTGCGTCACTGTCACACATCTTGAGTGTGATCACAGCATCACGGCCATAGGAGGTTGTTATTTTAAGAAACTAAATGTGAGGGATCATGATACGATTTATCTCAAGAAATTCATAAATATAATACTTCAAAAAGTTTTTTTTTTAAACCAGCAAACCAGAAAGAAAAAATGATTGACAAATCAGGTCTGAAATCAAACACAAATACTTTTTATTTACGGGATATCATTTTACATCAATTCCATTAAAACCTAAAACCAGTTTGCTGAACTCAAGTTAGGTGGCATAACAGTATTTTAGTTAAGTTGGGAGTCACAGAATTTGCACACTTTCATGAATGTAATGCAGATACTGACAACACAAAGCATTCACAGTTATAGAATAGCTGCTGTTCATTTAGCAGGAACCCCCTATAGAAATTATTTTATGGAAAAAAAGCAATCCACATTTTGGTCTCATTTACAGACACCCAACATTTTAGTTGGTCAATGAATTCTTTACATTTATTATACAACTTATGAAAGAATATAGGATAAGGCTTACAGAGGTATTTTAGTAGTTTTAAGAATAAAAACCAAACGGCACAAACTAACTTTTAAAGCTTTCTGTATAAACTTCAAAAGCACTGTTGAAATGGAAACTGACAGGCAACAGAAATCTGAACCAGAATCTAGAGGTTTGTCTAGTCAGATTTATAAAACCTTAATTCAGAGTTCATGCTTCCAAAACAGTGCATGAAACATTACAGTGGATGTTTGTGGCAACTAAGGGAACAAAATTTTTGACCTACTGCAGCAATAACCCCAAGGAGCTATGTTCCATTACGACATGGTATTGTAACGTGGAGTTCACAACACAACAAAACAAAGAGAGGATACAGACTCAGGTACTGGAGTAAAATCAGAAGGCACCCTAACATATTTAACACGAATCAGTTAATAACTTATGATCATTCAGTTTTGTGTAATTAAAGCAAAAGCATCTTACTACTTGGTCTGATTCCTTCTTCTCCTCTTAAAAAAAATAACTACAGAAAATGAGAACTCCAAGGGCAAGCATTCTGCAACCCCACGGAGTCACAGAAGTCTGAGTTTCAAGATTATCTGGAGTTTTCTAAACAGGCAAGATTATCCCTTTGCAATGCTTACTTACATATCACATATTGTGAGATCATTCTTACTTGGGTGGTCCTCCTGTCAGGAACAGGTTCACTGCGAATAGAATGCTAACACCTCCCCCTGGAACAACCCTTTTAATTTAGGACTAACTGTGCCGAGCAGTAAAACAATTCTCTAGATTCTAATATAATATTCAAAATAATTTCATCTGTGATTTACACTTGCTTTAAACACAACTATGACTGGTCAAATTTAAAAAATGTTGCCTATAAAGGGTACATTTGGAACTTCATGGGGGTACTTTTGAATCACTTCCATGGATCCGAGTCTGCCTGTGGCCAATCACTGCTATAACATGCACCCATCCGTCAGAATCTTCTCAACAAGATGATCTCGATAGCAGCTACTTGCTGCCAACATGTGCTATGCTTTCAGGTGTCAATTTATGCAAGGTGATAATAGACTGTAAGGTTAAAAGTGAAGAATACAGACAAGGAATGGTTAAGTATGCTTAATCACTGCAGAGTTTTTTCAACTTCTGGTTTATTTCACAGCAAGCCAAACCTTTTTTATTTGGTAGAAAGAGAGAGTAGTTGCATTCTTCTACCATATCATGATTTTGTATATGCTCACATATTGTATATACATACAAAATTTCTGTCTTTGGTGGTTCCATAAGGGAAAAAAAATATGAAAATCTGAACACTGTTTGCAAAGAAAGTACATCAGCGGTCAAGAGTAGCATTGTCAGTGTGCTTTACCCATTGAATGCCTCTTAAAGGTTCACATTGAAGCTAAAAGATGTTTTTGGCCAGATTTCAAGATAGTTCCAAACGTCTTCTTGTTCAATCGTGGATCCTGCTCACAACTACAGTGTTTACTTGCTCAAATGAATCATCAACTCTTTTCTTGGGTGAAATCACTATATTATGTGTCTTTATAAAACTTTAGGGACTGAATTAGTCATTCAATAGCACCAGATAGTTGGGCAAAAACATGTTATTTACACAGTTCTCAAGAAGAAAAAAAAAAAAAAGAAAGAAAAAGAACAAAAAAGAACAACCATAAAACACAAATCTAAAACTATCATTCTGCTATTATTCTTATTTCCTCATCCACATAAATAATGGTTGCCCTTCTTCTGTACAAGACTCAGGTAATGACAAATGGCCCCTGCAGGAAAGGTCCTACCATGTAATAGGTTAGCTCAATGCTGGTGGTTTTGTGTCCACTGCCAGCAATGGACATGCTGCCAGGAAAAGCCTAGCACGAAAGAAACAAAACCAAGAAAACAAACTAAAATGAAACTGAACACTTCTCACAGCTCTTTTTCAAAACAAAACAGAAAACCTAGAAAATCAGACACCATAAAAGCTTAACTAAAAATACAAGCCACAACTAAAAGTGCTCAGCAGTTAGTTATAAATGGCCAGCAAACCATTAGGTTTTCATGGGGGAGGCAAAATAAATTTTACTTAGAGTGGCATAGAAAGCATCAGCAGATCTAACACTGGCTAGAAGAATGCAAAATCAAAAAAATAAAGAAAAGTGGAGGGTGGTTTGGGAGAAAAACCATTAAATAATGTTTATAAGAATTTAAAATCCAATTAAAAAATTAAGAAGTACAACTTTAATTTGTTCATTTGTGTCTAAATTCAAACTACTACAATTTTAACACTGCAGAGCCAAATCCTGGGCCTCACATGGGAAATGACAGGTGGCATGTTTTACGTCTTCAACTTCATCATTCTAACATGCTAAAATTGTTAGGTAAACCAAACGGTATTTGGCCTATGCCACTGAAGAATTATGACTCCCACCTCCTTCCAAAACAGCCTCTTCGACAATAAGGTTAATTCTGGCAATGTTTGCTCATGCTGAAGTTGTTTTGTCTCATCTTCTGAAATGCTACATTTGAGACCAAATGAAGTATAATTGGTTCATTTGAAAAAAAAAAAGGGACTAGAAATATGCCACAAAATTATTTGTACAATACATTTTTGCAGAAATAATCTCTAGGTGAAGCTTTTTCTTTTTATACACATATACAAAATTTAAACAGCAATATACACATAATCACAGTGAGGACGTTGGCAAATTCACCAATCTGTAGTGTAAATACAAACTGCAAAGCAGCCGTTCAAGAGAACAATGCTACACAGCAAACAGAGCCGGTCCAGTCAATAGCAAACACCAAAACATCCCTGCCAAAGGGAGACAGTGCAAGGAAAGCAGCATGCGCTTTGATACAAACAGCAGTTTATGGCTAACGGTTGACATGACTGTGGTAACAGTGACTCTCTCGCTGCTGTGCATGAAGTCCTACGACATCTGTTTGTCTTTATACCACTCCACAAACTCGTCCAACAAAACTGGCCCTGGGGAGAGAGAGGAAACAAGTGGCTCCGAGGCTGTTTATGAGGAGACTAAGACAGGAAGATGTACACGGATGGGGAGGAGGGCATGCCTGCTTGGCCTTGGTACTCACATGCTCCGTCTTCGTCGTAGTTGCTGAGGTCGAGATTAATTGTTCGGCTAAACTCTAGCACATTGCACCACTGGTCTTTGTTAATAACTTTGTATTTTGATTGCTGGTGAAGGGGAAAGTAACATCAATTACTAACACTGAAAATGAACACACGGGAGGATTTAAATTGCTATATGAATCACCCTCATAATGTTCATGTGGGGGTTCCTCTTTCCACCTGAGTTGTCAAGTATCAATCTAGGAGGATCGGGAATGAGAGCAAGAATAGAACTGAAGATGATAATTTTCATTACAAAAATACTATAGCAACACAAAATGGCAAGCACATCAAAGAAACAATTGTATATCTCCATAAGTAAAATCTTTTAAACAGCAAAGCTCTTCTGTATAAAATGGGGACAACACCTATTTCACAGAGACACTGCAAAGATTAAGAGAGAACATCTATATAATTCATAGACAGCACCCATTACTAATCCCCGCCATGATCAGCACTGTTCATTGGCTCGAAGCACACGCAGCATGGGCCACTCAATTAAAACCCTGAAGCGCTACAAGCAGTCTTAGAGCTAGATGCCATTGCAACAGAAGAAAATGACTATTCTAGTAATTCAAAACTTGAACCTCATCATAAAAGAAATCAGAATAGCCATGCCATAGTATTTTTATTCCTCTTAGACAAGAAATTAGCCATGGTGTGTTTTGTAAATACAATATTTTTGCCTAAATATATAAATTTAGAAATAAAATCTGAAGCCAACAATTTGTAAATCCTCATCACTAAAATTGAGAAATATCATGTGATAAAACAAGTACATAAAAAAACCAAGAAAGTCAAGTTGATGACTCTAAAGACTGCAAACACAAGAAAAACAGAAATGAAAGAATTACTACTTTCTTTCAACTTTCTAAACACATAAAAACAAAAACTAGTCTCTAAATAGTTGGGACAGTGCTCCTGGAATTGTACTAAGGCAAACTGGCAATGTCTTCATACTCGAGCTCAGATCCTGCTGTGCTTGCAGAGAGCAAGGATCGATTCCCTTTTCCAAAGAGTGCTAACTTATCTCATGGGGCTAACTGAGAAGTCAGAACAACCACACATGCAATGTAGTTACGAATGAGCATGTAAACAAATACTTGTTTATATTAAAAAGCAATTTTATTAACAGTCCTCAAGGAAGTGTATAAGTTGCTAGGTTTTTCTGGACCATTACATATAATAAGCTGTAGAAAACATTACTTCAAGAAGGAAGTTGGAGCAAAGGCGAGGTCCAAGATTTTTTGGGAGAGCCAACACACACATCTTTGTAAGCTAAGGGCATTTTTTTTTTTAAAACAGGGCTCAGACAAGATACAAAAACACAAGAACACCCAAATATCAAACTTATATCTCAGATTCTTCCAGGACTTGCATGACATTTCAACAAACCCAGAATCTTTGGTCACTAATACTTCAACAAAAAGCCATGATGGAGTAAAGTGGTGGATTATTTCCAATACAAATCTGAAGAAAATTTAAACCAAAGGAGATACTGGCAGTTTACCTGGGACTAGACTGAGCTAGGGTCCCCAAGTTCCTTGCAGGCTAAAAGTGGATAATAAGAAGTGACTATAAACTGATTTTTGATAAGAAGGTAGACAACTGCTTTTTAACTTTTACTTAATAAAAGTGAAAAGTCCTCCAAAAGAAAGTCAATCTTCTCTATTGTTATAAAGAGCAGGGAAAATCTAGACAAAATGTAGCTTTTAAAGTGGGGATGAGAAAGGAGAGAAAAGGACAGAGCTGTGGCCGTTTTTGACATATCTGCAACGTGGAGTGAAGCAACACAACGTGACACGCATACACAGATGCGCTCCGAGAAGAGAAGTCATTGCTGAATTGACAGCAAGTATGTCACCAGAATTCCTACAGGCAGAAAAGTACAACAAACAAAAAAATTACATAAAATGGTTAAAATGTATTTGGTAGTTCTAAGCAAACATACATACATTTCATAAAATAACAATTTGATACCTCTAAGAACTGGTGAAAAACTGGAAAAAGGGGCCAGATTTTTCCTAATAACAGTCCCAACATGCACTTGGCAGTGTTTATGTCTAGGCTGCGCTGGTCCTTTTCCTGTTTAACAAACAAAAACAAGGATGAGCCAGATGTCCCACAGAACAAATTCCAATCATTCAAATTTGTATTTCATGCCAGCAAAAAATTAGTAAACAGCTCATTTATCATACACCCATAAAAACCCTGAATCAAAAGCTAAGTCAGGGCAAAGGGAGGAAGCCGGATCCAATGGAAGGCTTGATTGTCAGTATCATATAAGTTTAATGTGAGAAATTCATGTCAATTTAATGATGACCTTAACACAAAGTCCATAAGTTATGTAGTATCAATATTCACAATTATTTCGCAGGAAAAGTAAAACTCTATAACTCAATAGAGCTTGCTTGTTTGCCATTTATGATAATTACGTGGATCACAATTATTGATCTTAAAGTTCATAATTAGATGAAGTTTAAAGGTTTTGATTATTTTCATCCTTAAGAAATATCTTTCCTTTTAAAAAATCCTTTTCTTCAATTGTTTTGCTTTATCAGGTAAAATATTGTTCTCATACCTAAACATGCCATTATTCAGTTCTGCTCCTGACAGTTGGGGCTTTCAGACCCCCCTAATAACAGGAGGTGCTCACCCACATGCTTTGGGGGGAATAGGGTGTCTGTCTTTAAAGCCCTTCTTCTTTAAAAAAATTTTAAAATCTTTTATTATTATTATTATCATTTTATGATACAGTTCCATAGGCCCTAAGGTATTTCCCATATCCCCTTCCCAATTCTACCCCTGGGATTTCCCATATATCTTTACTAAAGTATGGTTCTTCATACACAGCCATGTCCATCACTGTGGGCATGGACAATGGCAGAGAGTCCGGCATCCTATTGTCATACAGTAAACAGTTTCATTGTAAGTCCATCTTTGTCTGGAAGTAGAGGTGCATATTGCATGTATCCTCAAATCTGGATATGTTAGTCTCCATTTCATAGTTACTGTACATCCCCTTAAATGAAAAGCCACAATACAAAATCAACAATAGAAATTTACAATGCCATGAAGTTAAATAACATGCTACTAGATATGACAGTCTCCATTACACAGCTACTATACATCCCCTTAAATGAAAAGCCACGGAACAAAATTAACAACAGGAAGAAAAAAGAAATTAACAACACCATGAAGTTAAATAATATGCTATTGAATGACTAATGAGTCGCTGAAGAAATTAAAGAGAAAATCAAGAACCTTCTTGAAGAAAATGATGCTATCCTATGATCTATGAGTCACTGAAGAATTTAATCAGAATAAAGTGTTTTGAAGAGATGAAACAACAACAAAAAAATCAAAATTGATGAGATGTAGTTTCCGCCGATCTTTGTTGGTGAATTGTGTTTCCTGTAGACAACAAATACATGGATTTTGCTTTTTAGTCCAGTCTGCTAATCTATAATGTTTGATTGAGCTTAAGTCATTTAAATTCAGGGTTAATATGTATGGGTGGTAATTGGTCATTTTAGCAATGGGTTGTTCATTGATTTAGTCTTCTGTTGTCATTTTACCAGGATGTTCTTCACATTTGCCTTTGGTTTTGGTGGCTGCTATTCCTCTTCTCTATCAAGAGAACATCTTTAAGTATCATTTGTAGGGCAGGTTTGAAAGAGGCAAATTCTTTTAGCTTTTCTTTACTGTGAAAGAATTTTATTTTCTTTTCAAAGACAAAGGAAAGCTTTGCTGGATATGTTATCCTGGGCCGACAATTTTTTATGCGAAGCCCTTCTTATCTTAGGGTTCTTTCACATGAATCTCCTTCATCAAATAGTCCCAGACCAGTAACCAGGCAAACAACATTTTATAAGAAAGCCAGAAAAAGACAGTAAACAAATCTAGATTTAAGTTTCCTCCACTGACATTTGCTCTTAAGAATCCTGAATTCTCTGGGGCCCGGCGTGATGGCGCAGTGGTTAAGGTCCTCGCCTCGCACACCCGGGATCCCATATGGGCGCCGGTTCTATCCCCGGCAGCCCCGCTTCCCTTCCAGCTCCCTGCCTGTGGCCCGGGAAAGCAGTCGAGGACGGCCCAAAGCCTTGGGACCCTGCACCCGCGCGGGAGACCTGGAAGAGGCTCCTGGCTTTGGATTGGCATAGCATCGACCTTTGCGCTCACTTGGGGAGTGAATCATCGGACGGAAGACCTTCCTCTCTGTCTCTCCTCCTCTCTGTATATCTGACTTTCCAATAAAAATAAACCTTAAAAAAAAAAAAAAAGAATCCTGAATTCTCATTCTGCTTTTTCTCTCAAGCTTCCAGGTAGTTCTATAATGGAAGTGGACGGAGGGCCTAGGACTAGTGGTAATAAGCTTACATATCCCAAGCTAGCTACAACATAGTTTCTCAACAACAGCAGAAACACATGCAAATATTTCAACAAAGGGAGCAAGTGCCTGGCTATCTCACTGGAGTTGAATCTAAAAGTAAAAGACAAGGCTACGATGTGCAGCCACACGAGCCTACAGAGAGAATTAACTGACCTCAAGGATTCTAACATCCTTGCCTTGAATGCGCCAGGATCCCATATGGTCGCCGGTTCTAATCCCAGCAGCTCCACTTCCTCTCTCTCTCTCCTCTTCTCTGTATATCTGACTTTATAATAAAAATAAAATAAATATTTAAAAAAAAAAAGAAAAAGAATCTCCTTAACAAATTAAAGGAGCACACAAGGCCATCCCAAAGCTCTTAGTAAAAAAATAAGGCAGTACTGTCAACACCAACGCTATGACCCTCTGCTTCTGGTGCAAAATGCAGCAGCTCGATAGAGTCTAAACCTAAGCCTGCCAGGAGTCACTCCGCAGCCTCAGAATGTCGGCCCAGGCTAAGAGGGAAGGAAACACAGCCTTATCTTCATATTCATCTCGTGACTGAAAACAGGTTCACGTACATTTCACAAACTTCAATTTTCTCAAACAGGAAAACAATTTTGTGTCATTTTTCAAACAGCAGGAACTGGGAAGACATATCAACCCTAAAAGTGCCATTCTTTAAAATTTTATTTTATTTTTGACATTGTTTACATATTTGAGACACATGCATGCCCATGTAGGTCTCTGATTAGGGTGGGGAAAGTAGAGGAATGGAGGAAAGTGGGTGGGACAAATGTTTCCATTTTTTATTTCTGTATCTTCAGTGGCAGATGGGGGCAAAGGGGCACTCCTTGCTATCAAACCACATCAGAACCTGGGGATGGGGTTATTTGATGATGCCTTAGAGATCCTAATGTGGGGAACAGTATGCCAAGGGTGTTACTTGAGTGGTTTTGATAGTTCTGAGACATTGCTGGCTTCATTGCATCAGGGTTGAGAAAATCTTCCCAAAGTCTGTTGGCTGACCAAGTCCACCTCAATACACCCACAGGGCCAGGAACACGTTGCAAAGCATGGCGAGGAGAGATGTCCACTGCTTTCTGTCCTCTGACAAGGCACCCAACATCCTCTGCTAGTATAGATGAGTTCCTGTCATGTCCGCTGCGTGCATCTGGTCATGCTGTCCACTGCACAGGCATCAGTGACTGAGGAGGTCCAGTCCCCAACATAGCACTTTGCCTGGGGTGACCTCACACTTGATTCTTGTGTGCATTAGCAGTGCAAGGTCAGGTTCAGTCTGTCACATGCACCAGCCAACATACATACTGGTGGATGCAGCTGCCTCTTAAATTTCACCTCCAGTCCCATCTATCACACGAACTGCCCACCTAGCATAGCTCAGCTCAGCCACAGGCTTGATCTTCACCCACATTAGTGGGAGCTGCAGCCTAGTGAGGGCAACTCCCAATAACTACTACTACAACTACCCTAAGCTTCGGTTTTGCATGTGCCAGCATGTACTACAGCCTAGCCCAGTTGGTTTTGCATCACATCTGGCTCTCATGCACACCCATGGTGCTGTCGCTTAGCTCAGCCCAACCTGCTGCCAGACCTGGCTGGCCTACATGTTTGCTGACAGATGCTGCAGCCCTGCCTGGCCTGGTCTGTTCCCAGCTCCAGCTCTTGTACTCACCAGCAGGAGCTACAATCTAACAGGAGAGTTCCCCAAGTTCCCCTACGAGGCCCACTCCCAGTCCCAGATATCATATATGTCCGGTGAGTGCTGCAGCCCTGGTTGGCATGGTCTACTCTCAGTTCTGGCCCTTGCAGGTGCTGGCAGATACTGCAGTGTGGCCCATTCTGGCTCCCTTCAAGCCCTAGCTCCTATTAAGTGTCAAGTGAGTTCTGCAGTCCAGCCTGGCTCAGCCCAGCTCTCCATGTAAACTGGAGGGTGTTGTAGTTGTACAAGTCCCCTACAGAATTTGCCCCTCAGACCTGGATCTCTGGTGGTTGTTGTGGCCCAGCCTGATGTGTCCCACTCCCCTCCTCTGACACTTGTGGGTGGGTACTGTGGCCTAGCCCAGCCAGACATGCCCCTCAGCCCCAGCTTTTGCATGTGCCAGAAAGTGGCAGGTGATGCTACCCAGCCCACGCCTCTCAAAAGGGCAGGTACCTTGCCTGACCTGAACATACCCTCCAATTTCCCCCACTTTAAACTAGGCAGCGGCCTGGTCCGTGGAAGACTCTAGAAGTCATTCCTTCCCTGTCAAACATGCCCTTAGCTGCTCCTATTCCAATACATCTAGACCCCTTTCTCCAGGCAGTATATAACACCCCCTCCTGGGGGCCAGGATAGCTGACATGTTCCAGCCTGGAGTCCCCTGCCTTTCCCGCTTATCTTAAAAGGAAAAAAGTAAAAAGAAAGAAAGAAAGAAAGGAAGAAAGAAAAATGTCTAAAAAAATAGAATAGGTAACCATGCTGGCACACCTGTTAACAGAACTTTGGCATTAACGAGGTCCAGAATGTCCACCACCTACTGGTTGTTTTTCTCCCAGCAGTAATATAACACCTGCCTAGGTAGTATAAGACAACCTAAACAATTGCTTCTAGCTGGAATAAAGTTGTCATTTCATCATTTTCTGGTATTCGGCTGTAGTTTCTTTCCTGCTTTCACAAAGTATAATTGAAATTGCCTAATATATGACACCACTGTTATTTAAAATGTAGAGGGTATTAGAAGTAATTTAGAATCCTAAAATATAATACTTAGGATATTAAAAATGATTCTGAAGACATCTGTTGTGTTAATTTGTTAATAAATTACTACCTATAGATGTCTTTTTTTAAGTAGGAAAAAAAATAATAAAGCTGGGGTGGGGGCGGAAAAGGTGATTTGAGTTCTACTTCCAGCTAAAATGGACCAATATAAATCAGATTTCCCTTTTCACTTAGGAACAATCAGAAAAAGGTAAGAAATGATGGATTTCAGGGGCTGGCACAGTGGTAATAGCAAGCTTAGCCCCTGCCTGCAGTAATAGTGTCTCATATAGGTTGTTCTACTTCTGATCCAGCTCCCTGCTTACGGCCTGGGAAAGCAGCGGAGGCTGTCCCAATCCAAGGGCCCTGCACACATATGGGAGACCTGCAGGAAGCTCCGGGGTTGCAGCTTCATTCCAGCACAATGCCAACTACTAAGACCATTTGGGAAGTCAGTCAGCAGATGGAAGATTCTCTTCTGGCTCTGTAACTCTGCCTTTCCATTAATTAATTAATTAATTAAAGCAATGACTGATTTCACATACTGGAAACTGGGCAGCACCACACTGTGAGCCCTGAGACAAAGGAGGAGACCCAAGGTAGGGTCTACATGACATGAGCTTACTCTGTGCAGGTTTCCAGGCCACAGCAAAGGAAATGAAAACCAAAACCACACCCAGCAGTGCTGGAGAAGACAGTTGGGATTTCAAGGAGACAAAGGTAACCGTTATTCCTGGAGGGAAATGCAAGCGAGGTGGGAATGCCACAGAGAGATCTAGAGACTCCCAAATGGCCTCCTAGGGTTTTTGGCTGTCCTCTGATCTGCACACAGTGAGAGGAATAAAACCATGCCTGGAGAGTCACTGCAAATGAGAAGGCAGTAGAAATACCAAGGGCCTCCACAGGGCTTGGAACAGCTTGTCCTGCCACCAGCCAGCACAAAAATTCCATAAAATATAAGGCAGTGGGCAGAATCTTGCAAAGTATGTAGCTTAGAGAGGTACTACCTCACCTTTAGTTAAAGCATTTTTAGGATCAGCCTTCCAAGGATTAAACTGATCTCCTCAACTATGTACCAGGGAGGAAAATATTCAATACTATTTAAAGGAATACAATAACAACAGTCAACATAAAATTTACATTAGCCAACTCCATTCAAAAAACAAGAAAACCTTACTAGAACTTTGAGACTAAACATGATCAATAATCAAGAGAATAATCAGCCAATAGCAAAGAGACCCAGAAATGACATAGATGATGGAGACAGAAAACAAGGTTGCTAATACTTCCTATAAACATACTCTATATTTAAGGGGGTGGAAGGAAATATTACCTCATGAGGAGAAACATGAAATATATTAAAAGATCTAAATGAAATTTCCAGGGATGAAAAGCACAGTATCTAAATATATAGGTTAAAATATCTGATTGAAATTTATAGCAGGAAAGGTTAATATGAATAAAAGAAAAGATTAATATATTGGAAACATACAAATTAAAATCCCCTAAATTGAAACAGAGGAAGAAAATGAACATAGTATTAATGGCATGTGGAGGCAACATTAAGCAGTTAAATTAAGGCATAAGTGTCCTCCACAGGAACAGAAAGCAGAGACATAGCCACACTTCATGGAAGATATCTCCCTCCATCTCTCTCTGCTTGTATCTTTCCTTCACTGTCATTCTGTATTTTGAATAAATAAAAAACTTTCTTAAAAATCTGAAGTAATAAAAGCTGAAAGATTTCCTAACTTAACACAAACCATAAACCCCATAGATTAAAAAACTCAACAAACCCCAACTAGAATAAACAAAAAGAAAACTATACCAAATCACATCATCATCATCTTAACGAAAAGTAGTAAAAAGAAAGGGAAATGATGCCAAATAGAAATCCGGATCTACACCCAAGTAAAGAACAACAGGAATCAGCAGCCACCACAGATTTCTGCCTATTTTTGGCATAAAATGTGCATAGCATCTTGTGAGATGAATCCTACTGAGTAGAGTATAAGACAAGAACAGCATAAAGTATAGGGAGCACAACCAGAGTATTCTGGTATAAAGGTTCTTCCACTACACAAAAGGAGGTATAATATTATTTAAGAACAGACTGAACATATAAAGATACATACTTTAAAGCCTAGAGCAGTTACTAAAAAAAAAAAAGAGATACAGTTGATAAGGCAAGGGGCAGGAGGTGGAGGAATCCTTTAACCAAAGAAAAAATCCAAAAGAAGACACAAACAAAAGAATAAAAAACAAGATGGGACAAACAGGAGGAAAACAGCAAGATGGGAGTTAAAACTCAACCATCCCAATAATTACATTAAATGCAGAACAGCTACAGCACACTAATTAAGACCCAGAGTGGGACAGGAGCCAGGGAGGAGGAGACAACCCAGATGAAAAGAGCAGCGGATATCTAGGAGAATTCTGAGGCTCCCAAACAAAGACTGGGGCAGAAAAAGTTGTATGATGATGCCTGAAAGAATTCCCACTCCTACTATAAGAACAGTGGAGGAACTGGTTGTATAGCATCCTGGTCCTCTGCCTGCAGGAACCAGAATCCCGTATGTGCACCAGTTTGTGTCCCAACTGTTCCACTTCTGATGCAGCTCCCTGCTTAATGGCCTGGGAAAGCAGCAAAGGATGGCATGCCCCTGAACCCACCCTTGTGGGAGACTCAGATGAAATCCCTGTTTCCTGGCTTCAGATCAGCTAAACTCTAGCCATTGTAGCCATTAGTGGAGTGAACCAGCAGATGGAAGATCTTTCTGTCTCTTCTTGCTGTAAATCTGCCTTTCAAATAAAAATAAATATTAAAAAAATGGCTGACTTTGGGAGGGAAAAATAAACCTCACTTAATAAACAATTTCATCTGAGACACTATTTGTCTATTCTAAGGCAGCTGGTAAATAACTTTCGCATACAGTTACACAGATGCCATGTAGTGAAGCAGTCTGAATCTTGCCTTATTCTTTCTAGCATCAACAAATTTTCATGCATGGCCTGATTTTAATAGAAGGTTTGAAAACAGAGAAATGCATTTATGAGCTTAGCAGGAAGAATAATCAAATGTTTGTGCAGATGCATCAGAATTCTGAAACTAGCTGTACGAGTTCAACACTGAAACTTGGTGTTGAATTAGCACAGCTAAACAGAATAGAAAAGTTTTAAAAAAAATTTATCAATGACTTTTCTACTTTAAAAAGTTAAAATTTTTAAAAAGCACAATGAAGAAAGATTAGTCATTTGGAATCCACAGAACACAGACATATTAGAAAGCATTGTCCTAGAAAATACTACAATTACCCGGGCTGTGGCCATCTGAACAAATACAATGCCAACTGGTGTTTTAACATTCACTACCTATGGTGACCAGACAGACTCACATGAAAAAACCTACTTCACCTCAACAGAATATCCTTACATACCTAGATGTGACTTAACAGGTGACAAACATAACAACCACTCTTCAAATTGAGGATTAGAAATACATGTTTACTAACTACAGAAATGTTTACTAAAATTCACTTAGGTTTGAATTTTTGTGTGATTTTCAAGTATACTAACAGTACTTGACGAGGTGCAATTAGCTTATTCTAGTAAGCTTGATGAGTGAAGGGTGAAGATTTGCTGTTTGTAACAAGGAGTTTTTTCTAATCAGCGATGTATTTCTAGCAGTGTCCATTCTATGCCCATGTTTCAGTTAATTCCAAGCCAGACACAAGAGCAAGTTAAGCTCTGCCATTACAGCTTTTCACTAACAAGTAAAATTTTTTGCCCCGCATCAGGATTAGTTTGAAAAGCATACATGTAGAATGAAGTACTAACTAGTATTCTGGGAGAAATTTATTGAAGTTGTGCACAGTGCGACATGCCCAAACCAACCTCCAAAGGCAAGGGCTGGGGGAGGGAGGAAAGTCCCTGGAGAGACTCCAGAGAACTTACCCGTGCAAAGTCAAAAGCGTATCTGTAGATAAGTTTAAAGTTTGTAGAATCGTTTAGTAACGACCTTAAGTAATCCAAAGTGTTTCTGAGTTTTTCTGTTGTGTCACATCTAAAAAGATAAAATAAAGGCAAATTAAAACCTGTGGTTTTGAGATTCTCTTCCATCTTGGTGCTGCAGAACACACCACCAAGGAGAGGAGAATGGCCTGAAGTAGGAACACGTCCATGAGAACCTCTTTTTCCTATATTTTAAAACAATTTCAAACATACAGAGTAACAAGCATCTGCATGCTCCCCCCTCGCTCCTGCAGTATTTTCTCACAGGTGTGCACTCGCACTCACAGTCATGCCTTTTCACATCACCTGAAAGCTGCAACCACAATGTCACTTCATTCCCACCCACATCAGTATCACCAGCACTCTTCATACTGTATCACTGCTAACATTCCCACACTGAAGACTACAACAGCTAATACACACTCCACAGGCGCATTCCTCAACTGTTCAACTCTCCTAAACACCTGCTGTTTTCAATCTTAGATCCAATCAAAGATCATGCACTGCTTTTAGTTGTTGATCCTCCTTAGGCTCTAGAAGAGAGCTCTACTTTTTCTACCTGTCTTGACAATGTCATTTTCTAAAGAACTAGACCAATTCTGCTTGTAGAAAGGCAACTGTCAGATAATTCCCCCAGGGTTGTACTTAAACATTTCTGACAGGAAAACTACATGTGATGCTGTGTCCCTCCCATGGCACTCAGTGGCAGGCCCAGCACACCAACCTGCTCTATTAAATTGACTCACATGGTTAAGGCATTGTCTACCAGATTCACCACTGACAGCTACTTTCCTTCCTTCTGAGACAGTAAGTAATCTGTGCGATGATACCTTCAGACTGTGAATACTCTACTCCTCCAGCTTTCATTCAATACACATTTCACATTTTTACAAACTTTCTCATTTATTGATGCTTTGACATGCCGACCAACAAGTGGTGACCATGCTGCCTAGAGCAGCAGGTACAGTAGGCTGGCAAGGCTGCTTTCAGCTCTCCCATTATTATGACCCAGAGATACTCAACTCCATCCCCTTGGATCTTGAGCTGGTGTACTCCTGCTAGCCCTCAATAAAACATCTGCCCACAGGTCCTCACTGCACTCTCAGCTCCTTACCTTCTTGGAGGAGTCCCTCCCTGGGAGCTGTTTCCATTTGGCCCCTGTGTGGCACACCCTTGCCAGCATCTGGGAGTACAAGAAGTCTTCAATTCCACATGCCTTTCTGAGTATAATTTATGTGGCCTTGTTGGAATGACTTTCAAAAATCCCACAAGGGAGACATCCCCAATTTATAACACAGTAAGTTAAGCATCTATTGAATCAGGTATATCTGAAGAGGCAGAACATTAAATTTTTCTAATACTATTATTATCCTATCTGCAGTCACAGCAATTCTTATACATACTACCTTTCCTATTTCCGGGACTAGAGATTTTTGGCTTTTAATTTAATGTGTTATAATCTGTTATTATCTTTCTTCTTTTTGATAACAAGCTGCCCCAATTCTGGCAGGGGAGCTTTAAAGCTGACTTGAGTCTTTCCAACATGTCCCCACCAGTCTCAGAGCACTTCCTTGCTTTCTGGCACAATATGTTCCAGCTCACCTTGTTCTTTGCTTGCTCTAGACTTGCAACAGCTATTTCTCAGGGACCGCTGATGGTGATAACCTATTTTTACCACTAAGCAACAGTCTCTACTTTTCATAGGGACGTAGACTAATTGATTGTTTTATAAGTTAATTTTGTTTGCAATCTCTAGCCCATAAGATTGAGGACTGAGAATTAACAGTCACTGGTTTTACCAGCATTAGTAAACCTTTTCAATGTTGGATGCTCCCTTGTGTTTCTTATGATGCTTCACCTACTACTAAGTAGTGCTAATTCATCCAGCAATTATCATCCACAGAAATGTTCTGTATATTATACAACTAAAATACAGCTTATAAGAGTACCTGATCTATCTTTAGCAAAAACATTGATTAAAAACTCTTTGTAGCTAATACATATAAGACCCCATGATCGATCTAAAAGACAAACATTAAATATTTAATCTGCTAACTAGGAAGCAGAAGTTCTTGGCAAGGTGGGTAGGAAAAGCAAGCACAAAGACCCAGTGCAAAAGGGCACAGGTAAATTTAGAGAACTAAAGAAAACTCCTATGACTGAAGAGGATGGATTGAGAAACATGAGAGGGAAGTCAGCCCTTAAGGGACAGTTGTGAGCTATACTGAGGGGATTCTTCCCTATTTATTGTTTGATATAAGTGGGAAATCGATCTAGCTACCTATCGATCAATCGATTGATCTATCTATCATTTGATGTAAGAGAGAAATCAGCTATCTCAAAAACATGCAAGGTTTAGGTCCCTACTCTTCACTGGAAAGTAAGGTCATGGACCAAAGCTATAGGAAACAGACCAGATTTCAGATAAGTCCTACCCAATGAGAGGAAAAACAGCAGTGGTTTTAACAGATTCAGGAGCAGGGCATCTCTCACTGTGATAACTACAGCACAGCTACAGCACAATAAAGTAACTCTGAATCTGGGGACAGAGCTATAAAGTGAAATGTCAAGTTCTATAGCACACCTGGGACTGAGCCCAGCCACCCTGGCACAAAGATGTCCCTGTGGTTGAAAGCTACACAGAGAAGTCATCCGACAGACAGGAAACAGTGCACGGAATGTTTTAAACCCACAAAACAAAAAATTCTCACTTCACATATGCATGAAGGATGCATGTGACATAGATTAGAGCCACTGCTAAGAGTGGAGCCACAGGTTGCCCTCTAGTGGCCATTCAACCAGGCCCTCTGGGAGAGGGACAGGGCTGTGAAGACACAGGCTTAGGAGCGTTAAACAACACATTTTTTAAAAGCTGCTCTATCTTCAACCCGTGCATTCTCTGTACTGTGCATAACAGACTCCCAGAAGCTACAAAATTAGACACAATTCTAACTCACTTGGCCAGGTTTAAACACTCCCACTATTAAACATATCAGAAGTAATCCTAAACCCACACATTAGAACAAGGTAATAAATAAAACAGCAGTCCAAGCCAGAGCTGTGTCTTCTAATGGCAAATGACTTGGGGAGTCACAGCAGCGCTGTCTGTATCCAGCCCTCGCACGCATCAGTGCTTGGTTTCCAATTGGCAAGTCCCGGGAAAGTCAGGCACCCAATTCCTCCAGATAGCATCAAGAAGACAGATATGTAGCTGGCCAGCTGTAAGCCACTCATTATCAACACACAACTATCCTGGCTTGGAGAGACTAGCCCGAACCACCTAGGCAGTGAGGGAACCAAGCCCCCAAAACGGTTTCAAAATGCACATAGCAACTTATAACTCTAAATTTTAACCACATATACTACTTTTGTCTGAACGACTGTGCTTTCTCAAAACTCTTAAGTTGAAACCCCAATCCTGAAGGTGGCGGCATTCAAAGGTGGGACCGTCACAAGGTGATTCAGGTCATGAGGAAGGAGCCTTCACATGTGGATTAGAAGACTTCTTAAGGAAGCCCATGGGAGCTTGCTTGCGCCTTGTAAAAGAAAAGCAGTGGGGAAAATAATCAGTCAGTAGGCTAAAGACTGTTAAGGATATGTTTTCCAACATGGCAAATGACTTAACCCTAAATTCTAGAGCATGCTGATCAGGAAGTGAAGTTATAAAAGGATGGCTTTTTTTTTTTTTTTTTCCTTCAAACTCATTTTCGTGAGGACTCAGTCACAGATTTTCTTCCTACCTCCATTACTGTCATGTGTAATCCATTCCCTCTAGGCCTCAGCTCCCTCGCTTCTCCAATGTTCAGAATAACTCCTCCACCATCCTGCTGCCAGATAGCCAGGAGACCCAAACATGAACAAACCACTAAGGTCCAATGCAAACAAAGCATTATTAACCACGACAAATGGATAAACATCAAGCAAGCTGACAAATTTCATGTAAATGAAACATTTCAACCCCAACTAATCCAGCAAAAAATAAGCTGGATTACTCATAGTTCAAATGAAAAGAAAAACGCAAGTCAGTCCCAAGCACTTCAGACTAGAGCCTCAACACAAAGAATTACCTGCACTATCACTTGCCATGTTCAGTTCCCCACAAGTGCACACACATACACACAAGCACACGGTAAACACATAAAACTTGATTTTTTTCTTATTCTGAATGAGGTATCAAAGACTTTATCATCATCATCATCATTATTGTCATGCAGTTCTAAGTTGGTCCAAAGCTAAAATCAGAATATACATATATATATATATATATAAATAAAAGAGAAGATATCAAGTGCTTACATTTAAAGGTTACACTTAACTCAAATTTTTCTCACTAGCTGTAAAGCAGAAGACATGGGTTTTAGGCAATAGATGTGCACTGATCAATACGGTAAGCATGAGGCACAATTCACCGCTGAGCACTTGAAACACAACTCATACAAACTGAGTGGATCCTAAGTGTAAAATACATATCAGTTTTGAAGGCTTATCATGTAGACACACATACATGACACACAGTATCTATTATACCTAAATTATTAAAATTCACCCATAATATTATGTCCTCAAAGGGGGTCCTGGTCTTTACATCTTTAGTCATAGGACGTCTGTCCAGACCACCCGTCTTCCTTCCACTCGGTCAAAACCATTGTGAGGTCCCAGGAAGGGGGGATCCGCATAGGGAGGGTAAGAATCCTACTGCTACAGCCTTAGGACTTACTGTAGAGAAGTCATTCCTTTCAACCATTCCTGTAGAGTAAAATAACCCATGTTCTGTGCATCCAATTTCCAAGCTAGGACAAGCATAACCACCTATGTAAAAAAAAAGAAAGAAAAAAAAAATCTCAGCAATGAAATGTATTAACACTGCACCAATGGTTCTGTTCACAACTGTTGAGTCACAAAAACATAGAGTAACTTCAAAATGGGTTTTAGTTTGGCAAATGCCTAAAATGTTTGATGATGGAATCTGCTACTGAGGGCTTGGAGAAATGGACATCCTGACAACACACGGTGAAGAAGGTGTAAAGCAGTTAACCTCTCCAGAGGGCACCTGCGCAGTATCTTAAGATCAAAAGCAGGTACTGACTGCAATTCCACTCCCAGAAAGTTATCTTAGATATGCTTATATATGTATATTCAACTACTTACTAAAATACAATATGCAGATACAAAAAAGAAACTCACTCAATGCTCATTAGTCTGCTTAAACACCTTTTTGCTGAACACACTCCACACACAGGAATATTACAGTACCATTAAGACAAATGAAGTGGGCAGATCTGGAATGATCTTCAAGATTTATTAAGTGAAACAGCAAAGTACAGAGCAGAATGTTAACAAACACGCTGGATGATGGGAAATATACAGAGGAGTTACAGCACACACAGATCACTGTGAACCCCTGAGGGGATGATTATTTCCTGAGGGAAATCACTGTGAAATAACCCAACAGTGCGCGTCAACAGCACTTTGTCTGCAAGGAGCTGAGGACACAGTGCGGCCCAACTACTCCTCGGGGGGGGGTCAGGTCCTCAGCTTCATTCTCCCCACAGTTATCAGGAGCTATGACAACTCTGGTTCATGCCTCTGCTCTATCACTGTTTTCACAGAACTAATTTAGGGACAGAATATCGCAGAGAACTGCCTGCAGCAAGTCATCAAGTCATCATAAATACCCAAGGTGTGATGGTGCTCCAGCTTCAAGGCACCCGAAGTCCTGCAAGGGACAGGTTGAAGCCATCGTATGAAAAGAAAAGGAAGCCTTCCCCCTGGTTACCTCAGAGATCCAAAAAAGCTGAGGGATAACTGAAAAAGAATGAATTAGTCCTAAAACAACCTATGAGAAGGATAGAAACTTCCTAAGACCACCTTGCCACGTTGGGTTTGGCAATCTATAGACAGTTATTCACATTAAAATGATATCAATTCATCTTCAGGCTATTTCACTTCTGATCTGGTTCCCTGCTTATGGCCTGGGAAAAGCAGATAACCTGGGTGTTTGGGCTCCTGTCATGCACATGGAGACCCAGATGAAGCTGTTAGCTTTGACCCTGCCCAGCACTGGCCATTGTGGCCATTTAAGGAATGAATCAGCAGATGGAAGATCTCTCTCACACTCCTTTTCTCTCTGTGTAACTCTTTTTCAAATAAATAAATATTTTAAAATAAATAAAAAATTCTAGATCCCCTTCATCAAATAAATTTGTATTTATCGTTTTTTTCAACTCAATAGATTTATCAGATTAAAAGATTATTAAGTGGTGATTGTTAAATCAGTTTTTTAAAGTTTAGTAGGTTATCATTTAGAGAGCAACAGGCTATAAGCATTCCCCCCCCAAAAAAGAAGTAACTACCAACACTTCAAATTAGCCACATATAAACTCCTCCCCTCGGGTTTCTTGGAACTGACTCCTATGTACCCATTTGCCTAGGTGAACTAACCCACATTTCCTAATGCAAATTACACATGTTCCCAAACTGCTCCTTCCTTAAGCTTTCTATCGGAAAGATTTAAAAATATGCATGAACACTACAGAGAAAGGCAGTAAGAACCACAGCAGGGGCACAGGAGCACACACAAGTACGCATGAAATAGCTCCTCAGCTGAGGCTACAGTCAGCCCGTCACAATAGGAAATAATTTATGCATAAAACCCTGTCTTAAGTTAACTAATAAGGAAAGTAACTACTGAAATGCAGGATTTTGCCCTTATCTGGGTAAATCAAAGTAGTATTGAATTTTACAAGCCTGCTCAGATTTCATAAGCTATAAATATCAGATGAGGTGAAGGTTTTAAATACTTTGCAAGTGCCAGTTCAGCAATGCCGCATTTCACAGCTTGTTTTTCAAATGCTAGAACCTCTAACACAGGACTGCAGTCACACAACCAAGAGCATGGCAGAGTTCTCTTAGCAACACTTTTCCTTTCTTAGTGACTGGGATATAAAACATCTCAGTCACTGATGGCATCTGAGAACAGAAGAGCAGGACTGAATACTTGGAAGAACACTCTGAATTTGGCCTTTCGGTCTCGAATATACTTCACCACCTCAAAATGATTTCTCTTGCTAAAGGACTCAAAGCCATCACAGCAGGGTGAAAATAAGTCATCTCCTTGGGATGAGGAACATTAAAAAGCAAGGCCTCCCTTTTTTTTTTTTTCCAGAGAATTGCCACTGGCACCACCAGAGTGGTTTCTGCCCAGAGAATCAACACCCGGCTCAGTTCAGCTTACCCCTGGACCGGATTTGGGTGCTGGAGCTCACAGCTGACAACCGTCCACAAGGGGACATCTCCTCTCATGCCCTGATTATGATCTTCAGCAAATACTCTGCCAAGCTGGGCCTGGCTCCCAGCAGAAGAGTCTTTCCTGAGGCCTCCAGATTTGGTCAAGTGAAACACTATTGACCCAGTTATCCCCACCTTTTACACCAACTAAAATAATTTACCAAGATATCTGAACTGGAATACACTTAAATTAAGAAACAGTCAAAAAACAACAACAACAAAATGCAGTGACAGAAAGCCATCCCAAAGGCTTGAAGTGCTGTTGGGGGTGAAACAGGGTGGTGGATGAATGAGACCCAGAAATGATCAAAGTACAAAGCTTAACAGTGTGAAGCCTTAACTCCCAGCTTTCTCTAAGAGCATGACTTACAAGCATGGGCACTAGATGCTTCACAGTCTGAATGCAGGGGTGATATTAGTAAATTATTTAGTAAATTTATTTAGGATCCAGGGAACATTTGTTAAACTGGAGGACAATGCAATACTAAACCCGAATTACTGAGCCAGGACACATGCAGAAACGAAACTGCATAATCCTTCCTTTAGTGTAAGAGATGATGAGGGAATAGGAAAAACTGCATATTCAGTAACAACACAGGGCTAAGAATTAAGCAAAACCAATTCAACATATAAGATGGCTTGAAATTCTTAAAGGAAATACTCAGACTTAGGTTAATACACCTAAAAAGCAATTACTTTTTGGGTTACACTCAATGAGAAGTGAAAGATCTGTGAAGAAATCATAATTACAACCTACTCTAAACAATTATTCAAGGTCTTGCACTCATTATAGATCAGGCTATGTCAACTACTGACGGAGACAAAGGGCACAGCACACAGTGACTGAGTCCTCTAGCTGACCAGTCACTGTTAGGACACAGGCCCACACCACTTTTTAAACATCCAGTTAAGTCTAATTAATTTCTGTACCTCTTAAAGATAAGAAATTCAATGGGATGGGGGGATAGTTATAATTATACCATAGCACTTATATGAAAAAATTTATTTATGAATCAAACTAAAATTGGAACTTATTTCTTACATTATATCTGCAAAACCTAGCATACCATTACTTCTTTAAGACTGTTTTTGGTTAAGCGACAATACTTAAGTGAGGGGCCCGGCGCAGTGGCCTGGAGGTAAAAGTCCTCGCCTTGCAAGCACTGGGGATTCCATACAGACCCTGATTTTAATCCTGACAGCCCCACTTCCCATCCAGCTCCCTGCTTATGGCCTGGGAAAGCAGTAGAGGACAGCCCAAAGCCTTGGGACCCTGCACCCGCGTGGGAGATCCAGAAGAAGGCTCCTAACTTTGGAGCAGCTTAGTTCCGGCCATTGCGGTCACTTGGGGAGTGAATCATCAGACTGAAGATCTTCCTCTGTGTCTCTTCTCCCTATATCTGACTTTACAATAAAAATAAATAAACCTTAAAAAAAACAGAATTAAGTGATAAACACAATGATTCACTTGACTCAGACTTACATTCTCTGGCTCAACTCCAATGTCTTCACAAAATTTCTCCATGCCTTCAGGACCTACAACATCATCAGTACCTGCAATCAAATACAATCTTATATAAACTGAGCTTGACCATGTACATAATTACTGCTGTAGTAGTATAATCCTGTCATTAAGATTTCAAGATCCTCTTTTTAGAATAAGGAAATCAAGTATAAATTAAGATATTTTATATTTTCAGAATTTTTCAAATTACTTTTCTGAAGTAAAATTGCTCCCTATAACATCCTTTAAATTATCATCACATTCTTCAATCTTTGCAATAAGGTACATATCACTGTCTCTAAAGATAAGACAACCCAAGTTTAATTCCTGCTCTTTAATGAACTTAAGGTTCTACTTTAATTTTCAGAATAATTTTCATGCACATCATAATTTTTGGTGATAGTAAAGAACCACACAAAATTTTCTACACAACCAGTTGAAAACTAACAGAATCACTTCCCTTGTACATGCTCATTCTTTCTCCATTCTTGAGCTGCTACTTCCTGAAAGAACTGTCCATATGTTCCACCTCCACTGTGCCCACCATTTATTCTGCAACTACCATAATTTGGCTTCTCCTGCTTTATTCTCTCATTGAAAGTGTTCTTGCCAAGATGACCTCAATCCTCTATTTGTCCAACCTAATCGACACAGTCAACCTTTATTTGCTTCCTCTGTAGTACTGGGATCTTGAAATTCTTTCTTCACAAAATTGGCATCCAGAAGCACCCTTTTCACTGAGTTTTCCTACTCTTTCTTCTCCTCTTTTTGGTTCCTTTGTTTCTCCCAACTCATTAAATTAAATGTATAGAGGTCCACCCTTAAATTTCCTCTAGTCCGCTCTATATATACCCTGTCCAAGGGCTTCACGTACTGCCCTATCTCTGTCAGCCATTCCCTTCCCCTCACTCCTGGATGGTCTGCCATGTCACCATCTGGTAGTCCACCTCCATTTAACTACCATAATTACATTCAACTCATCTCTGCCACACACTTCCTGCATGTCCCATTTTCACGCACCACTGCACAAAAACTGAGCTAGTCATCTCCCCAGGCCAAGACTGCTTATCCTCCTGCATTCTGTCTCAGCTCCTAGCGCCAACAGAAATAGAAACCTGGGAGTCTTCTTGTATTACTCCTCCCTTTTCCCACACTCTGCACAATCAATCATCATGTGGACTGCCAATTCACCTTCTAAACATTACCTAATTGCTCTTCTGCACCACCCTGTTTCAGGATTTATTCTCTCAGAGCAGTCTCCCTGGAATCTCCTCAAGCAACAGCCTGCTCCCACAGCCCCATGAGCACCCATCTGCACATGGCCTGTAGCAGGTCTCTCGCAAACACAATCCCATGTTGGTTGGAATTCCCTCAAAGGCTCCCTATGCCTAAAGATAAATTTCAAGTCTTTGGCAAAGCAAATGTGCCTATGATCTAGTGTCTCCCTTCCCCTTCAGTCTCATATCCTTCCACTTACAAATTTGCCAGTTTCTTTGGAAGTAAGCTTAGCAATCAATCAACAAATACTGCTAAATAAGAAATCAAGTCCCAGGCACATATGCTTACTTGCAGTTCTGTTCTGCCCTGTGTCCTAACATGTACCTAACATCATCCTACTCTTGGTGGTTCAGCCCATCTCCCTTTCAGCCCCCTTTCTCCCCTCCTCTGTCCCAGTGGCCCCCAGTAAATTTATCCAGTATCAATCACTGAGACCACACAGGCTGTCCTGAGGACCAGCTCCAAGCAACACTGGGAATGGTTTTCTCACATTTTTATCTCACTGTTAAACTCAAAGTCCCATCCCACTTGTCTTTCACCCTGAGCACCTGAAGCATAATAGTTATTTTATTCTTCTTACAACCTCAGCATACCACCAATAAAAGTTTATTGAACAAATGAATAAGTACTGGAATATAGCAACCACTCTAAATCCTCCCATGGCTTCCAGATCCAGGAAGTCACCAAGTCTGGCAGAATCCATCACTGGTTCAGATGCCATTTACTAGACACTTCGGGGAGCTATACACTGCATAGCTGCTTCAGATGCAAAGTATAAAACATGGCCCTTGCCCTCCATGAAGGTAGACAAAGCACAGAAGTAATCTCAACAATATGATAGTTGGACTGCAAATACAGTAGTGACTCTCCTCAACAAAGGTCAATCCCTTTAATGATTCTCACCAACAGAGCTTATTATGAAGTTCTGTCACTTCTTTGCTTCAAACCCATTCCTCCCCCAACCAAAGTTCAAACCCAAGCACTAATTCATATCCTGACACAAGCAAGTCCTTCCTTCCATGTCATCATTTTCCTTTTAATCACAGATTTGCTATTCTGATATAAAATGTTTTATTTCATATACTCACATTTATTTCCTTTCCCTGCAATTCTTATATTTTTTTCCTGTTTTCTTAATTTTCTCAATTACTGGGGAAGAATTAATAACAGTTCATTTAACATAGGGATTTCGTACATTAACTCACAAACATGATACAAAATTGCTTTTGGGGGTGGAAATAAAAATTTTTTTTAAAAAGTTTCCCTTCTTCCTCCTCCCTTCTCAGAGACAAGAATCAGTCATCTAGAGCATTCTGCATGGAAGGATTATATGTGTATGTGTATTTGTCTCTAAGCTATGCACATGGCATCTATCTACCTACCTACCAATCCATCCATTTGTCTATTTATATCTAATAGGTCTACATTTCTCCAGGAAATTCTCTAGCCTTCTAGACATTCAATTAGATTTTTGCCTCTTCTTCTCCAATCTGTATGCCTCCTAATTCTTTCTCTTGTCAAACAGTGCTGCTAGTTAGTAGCATCTGAAACAATAGCAAAGAGCAATGAGAAGAGTGAGGGCAAGTAACCCATTCCTGACTTAAATGGGAATACACTTAGCAGTCTGCCATTTGATTCATTGCCAGTTTTGAGTCTGAGAATGCACTCACATATTTATTATGCACACTATACCTTAATACATTCATGTGGTTAAAATGCCCTAATAGAGTATAAAGATGATAAAATAAGTAGTTGTTATTGTAAAGTTAGCCCCTTCCTCCCTTTATCAGCTCAGCATTCTTCCTTTCAAACCTTTCTGCTATGTAAGGTCAAATACATATTGAAATACTTTTTTTCCCTCATATAAATCTCATGGTCATCACACTGTGCACTGGAATTTTGCTTATGTTTTACCCAAAATTTATCAATTTATGCATGAGTAGGATAAGACAGTCTTTGACAAGCAAGATATGAGATTGCTCTGGCTAATACAAAACTGGTTTAGAAGCAGGACAGAGAGATTGTTAAAACAAAATTCTGTCAAAAACAATAAGCTATGGAATGCCCTGGCTGACCGGATATGGATGATACATTTTGAAAACCAGATATACCAATGAAAATCTAAGGGGAAAAAAAGTTGGTCCTCCCACTTACCCTGCTATCTGAACCAGGCATCGTGAGCTAATTATATATCTTCTCTTGATATGACCAAGTTCCTCATGTTTAAATTTCTCTACCTCACGTACAGCTGAGGCCAATGTGGCTTCAAGCATCTCCTCTGTAGCTCTGAACAGCTCCTCCTTCACGGTCAGACCACTTCAGCACTTTCTGTATCGTTCGTGACTATTAGCACCTAATTCTGATCTCCAGTCTCATTCTGCTAAACCAAATAACAAGTCTTTCACAAAATTTAATATAAAAGAAACCACAGTCAGCACTTTGAGACTCATCATGACTCATGAATATGAGCTTTGGTATAATTTTGAAAAATCAATGTTGGCAACTATTGTGTACATGGGAACTTCAAACAGTTCATGAAAATGGAATTTTAAATATTTTTTGGTGAAAAATCTTTTGAAGTCCATGCATAGTTCCCATTTGATATACATTTTCCACAATTTTTTTCACTACCTTCATTTGATTTAATTATTGCATAGTATTAGATATATTTCAGAAACAGAAGTTTTCTGATAAGTGATTTACATAAAACTAGCTTTACTAATTCAAGTGAAAAGAATTGGGATTTCAGTTTTAGACAAAATGGTCTAAACAGCACACACTACCTTCAAGTCCTAGCCAGCTCTAAAGTCACAAACCACTGAAATACAAGAGTATAAACCAATAGCCACAGAGAACAAGAGGAAGAGCTTCTAGCTGTGGGGTGAGGGGTGGAAATCTGAACTGTTTTTTCAAAAAGATGAGAAGCTGGGCCCAGCACAGTAGTCTAGTGGCTAAAATCCTAGCCTTGTACACACCAGGATCCCTTATCGGCTCCAGTTCACATCCCAGCTGCTCCACTTCCCTTTAAACTCCGTGCTTGTGGCCTGGGAAAGTGGCAGAGGATGGCCCAAAGCCTTGGGATCCTGTACCCAAGAGGGAGACCTGGAAGAAGCTCCCAGTTCCTGGCTTTGGATCAACTCAGCTCTGGCCATTGTGGCCACTTGGGGAATGAACCATCTGAAGGAAGATCTTTTTCTCTGTATTTCCTCTCTGTAACTCTGATTTTCCAATAAAAATTTTAAAATCTTAGAAAAGAAAATAACAAGCTGTGAGCTGGATGTACAATGGATGTCAAGAGTTAACAAGCCAGAATAGAAGCTGAGAGAAGGTGGGCCACAGGAGTTATGGCAAGCAGAAGGTAGGCAGGGTGAGAAGTAGAGCTGAGAACCCTACAAAGGGCCATCCACGTCAAACAGCTGCACACGGGGCCCTAACAGTGCCGCCAACTCACTCCAGATGAACAGGCTGAGAGTTTATCTGCTGCGCAAATCAGTAAGCTCTCTCCTGGGGAAAATGAGCACAGTCCGGGTGCTCAGGCCCCTCATTCTGGGACCCAGAGCACCTGCAGCCTCTCAGCCTGCTCCCACGGATTCATCCCACAGCACCTCCCTGGTTCTTCTCCAAAATCACTTCCCTGGAGATTTCTGACCTACAGTTTCAGTTCATGAGGTTTCTGGTACTTAAAAGGCAGGTACCAACCATACCTTCAGTTACTCCTGATCCAAGCCATTTTCTCATGAATAAGACACAAGAAAAGCAACCAAATTGGAAAGTGGGAAGGGTGAGACTAGGGAAAACCACATGCATACCTATTTTCCACAGGGACGAACTACTAGTAATCCCCAGCAGGAATCACTGGGAACCCAAATGATGTGACTTACTCTTTACTCCAAAAATACCACCTTTTGGAAGCCAGAGAAAGGAAAACAAGAAGGCCTTCTTTGGCCTTGCTCTTTTATTTATCTATTTATTTTTATGGAAACGAAGTTTTATGCTTATAAAAGAAGACAAAAGAATATACCAAAAGCACCTGAACTAATGGGTTTTTCTTTTAAAATTTCTTTTGTGCAACATAACTTCATATCACTAAATGTGAATCACTAAAGGAAAACAAATTATTTCCATAAGTAGTAGAAATATGAGAAAACGCTTCAACATTCAATACCCAACACTCTTTGGCAATGTCAACCACTTTCACTAAGATGACAAAATACCAGCAAGAGATTCATGTTCCAATAAAGTAAACAGAAAAACAGAGTCTAATGCTGTGTGTCCACACAACTGTCCATGCCCTGAGAACCAAATAAAGTAATGAAAGAGAATTCACTATAAATAAATTGGAGTGGTTTACAGAGTGGTTTACAAAAATCCAAAGCAATAGTAAAGGTTCAGGACTACATCCTTCCAGGAGCACCTCCACGGCAGAATGGCACTCTTCTTCTAGCTTCAATCTTGAAATTCCCAGAAACTGTGAGCAGTATGGCCTGGATTACCTGCCAGATCCAAGGCCAATTTCTGTGGCCAAAGGGGCAGGTGTTGCCCTGGGAGCAGGGAATGGGCAGAAGGGAAGGGGATGAAAAGTGACTTTTCAGACCACAGCAGGAAATCCTTATGCTGATTCACAATAAATGGGAATCAAAATGTCCCGCAGGAGAACAAAAAAGATTATTAAACTAAACATGGAGCTTATAAACTTGGCAGATGGAAAGTGAAGAAATATGGGCCTGACAAGTGGAGAGCAAGTTAGCTGTCACTCACCCTGCAAGTAGCAGGGATGTTTAAGTAGGGAATGAAGGAATTCTTAGGGAATGATATGCACTATCTGTGTAGTTTACTTCTTTGCTTTGGAAACCTGGTCTGAAGCACAAACTGATAACACAAAAATTGGAGCAAAGGCGGTTGGAAGAGTCAAGGTGACAGGTTTTCAAAGGACCTGAATTACGATGAGCAAAACAAGAAGGGTAAGAAAGCCTTCAAAAGCAAACATTTCTGATTTTTTTTTTCTTTTTGGCTACACCACACGCAGTCACAAAAACAAATTCTAGATTGTTGTTATTATGTTATCTAATTGGCAAATTATAAAAATGAGACTGAATTTAAGACATTTGAAATGACAAAACAAACATTCTCTGCCAAACAATCTTTCAAAATAGAGACACTCAGTATAAAGAAATTTCACAGCAGTACACGACGGTTCAAAGCAGCAAAGCTTATTTTAACTTTGGTACTTAAACTAAATAATGACCCATTACCGGTATTCTAAACAGGTTTCCTAGCAATCCAAAGTATTTCTCCCAAGTACATTTCATCTGTTCAGTTCTCTTCTAGTGTTCTAAATTCTTTGGCTTAGCTGCTGACTATAAATAGGACATTTAGTGATTTGTTTCAGCTATGTCCCTTCCTCCCTCCCATTCCCTCTCCCCCAAGCAAGGACACACACACACGCATGTACATACACCACATTTGAAAAGTACACCTTTAACTCCTTAATCACCTCTCTGATGACACTCTGTTAAGGATCATAGATAAAGTCAATGATTACCTACCTGCATATTCATAGAACCACTCTAAGCACCTTTTACTCGAAAATACTTCTTCTTCAGTCTTTATTCTAGTTGAGTCATATTTTCTATACATGCTAGGAATTGAAAAGTAGTTTAAGTCACTTAAAGATATTAAATTCTTTAAGTAGCAGATTTTTATTCTTTCACTGGAACCATCAATTTATTCAACTGGCATTTAAAGCTCATTTTTAACATTTCCTTCCCTCGTAGCAAGCTTCAACCTTTATAACTACAATGTTTAAAAATAATAATACATTAGTAAAGAATGGTCACCACTTACTGTTTTTCACAGAATAACAAATAATAGATATTTGATATGTGCCTCAACTGTGGAGGCAAGAAAGATAAAGGACATTGAATTTAACTGATGACCCTCAAGATTACTCACTCATAAATCTCCGTTAAGTTCTCCTGACCTCCCAGTATTATAAATCATCTAAGAAAAATGTATCAGTTTTGAGACACCCCATGAGAATCTGGCATTGTGTTAGAGCAGATAAAGCCACAGCCTGTAATGCTGGACTCCCGTATGGGAGCCAGTTTGGTGCTGGCTGCCTCACTTCTGATCCAGTTTCCTGCTAATGGCCTGGAAAGAGAAGTAGAAGACGCTGCTGTCATCCATACAGGAGACCCAGAAGAAGCTCCTGACTCCTGGCTTCGCCTTGGCCCGGCTTTGGCTACTAGGGCTATTTGAGGCCATCTGAGGAGTGAACCAGCGGATGCAACACCTCTGTCTCTGTGTCACTCTCTGTAACTCCCATAACTTTCAAACAAATAAATAAATAAATCTTTAAAAATAAAAACAAAAAAGATAAGCCATGAAATCATGAGGCAAATAAAAAGAAACATCAACTTATGGCCAAGCTTTCAGAGAGAAAATAAACTCTGGCATAAAACTGATGACAGAAAGTTCTTGGGCTAGTTCCTTAATCTCACTTTCAAAACCTCAGAAAAGAAAAGTACAGAGGACCCTGGCTCTTGCTGTTGCCTTGAAACTCCAGTGCAGTACACACGCCCAGCAAATGCTACACACTGACTTGGGAAGAACAGTAGTCTCCTCCAATTCCACCAGAACCCCCTACTTATAGACAACCAGGCACTCAGCACTGAGGTATTCTCTACATGGAGGGGAGAAGAAAGCCTGGAAACAGTGAGTTGGTTATAAAAATTGTGAGTGTATACAATTTATATCCCTTATTTATATGTAAACTACCTAGTAATGTACATAAAGATATATGAATACGGCTTTTATTTATATATCTAACAGAAATATCACATAGCTCATTTTTCAAACATTTATTCACAGTGCAGACATTCATCAAATTATCTATATGTGTCTGTGATTAAAGATTCTAGTTTTTTTTTTCTTTAACCCTCCACGGAAGATACCTTTATAGCCTTAATTTTTACTTAAGAGACATAAATTTTTATTTATTTATCTAGGAGGCAGAGACCTCTCACTTGCAGGTCCACTACCCGAATGCTCACAGCAGTTGGAGCTGGGTCAAGCCCAAGTTGGGAACTGGGAATGCAGCCTAGGTCTCTCACACGGACAGCAGGGTCAACACCAGTTAAACCGTGACCTGCCGCCCCCCAGGGTCTGCATTTGCTGGGAGCAGGGATCCAGGGCTGGGCCGGGACTTAAACCCAGGCCCCTGAATACGGGATATAGGCATCCCAGACAGCATCTTGACTGTAGCATTAAACATTTGACTCCTGATTCTGGATTCTAACACCAAAAAGGAACAAGGTTACAGGTGTTAATTCATTGAACCCAGAAACCACCAGGAGTGTCTCTCTTACAAAAGACAATTATACCACCTGAAACAATGGTAGATTCCGGCCAAAGGGTTCAACACAAACATGTTCCTTCCCTGGGCTCCTGTTATTTCTATCTTAGCTCAAAGTCTGTAAATGGTCTTTGGTGTGGAGACCAATGTATGACACTGTAACACATAAATTACTTAAAAATACTCTACATGAAAAAACACCGAAATCATACACTGGAATACCAGTCAGCAAATAAAAGGAATGAACAAGACCAAAAAGATTACTTATAACAAAAAAAAAATCACAAAAGGCAAATCTGTAAAGGACGTAAGAGTAGATTAGTGGTCGCCTAGGGCTGTAAGTGATTATAGGAAGCAAGTGTGGAAAGGTATCAGGGATTTGACCAAGATGATGGAAATATTCTAGAATTGGCCTGCAGTGATGGCTTGCATAACTCAGTTATGACATAAAAATCACTGACTATAGATAAATTTTATAGGATGTAAACAGTTTTAAAAAGTATCATATAATCAAGACATGCTTATGTGATTATCCCCCAAAGAGTATCAAGTAACTGGGTTTCATAAATTACTTTTGAATCCTTTGGCCTAAAGACCTTCTAAATCACAATCTCCTTCTAGATCCTATTTTCTACTCATTTAAGATATGAACAGTGATGCTATTTTCGCATTTTCAGACTTTTATCCTTCCACTTAACATGAGAGCAAAAAAGAAACAAAGAACTTCATCTAAATTCCTCTGTCACAGTGATGTGGAAATCCACACCCCTAAATGAAGTCAACCATAGAGCAAAAATGGAGAAAGATGAAAAAAAGCCAAGGCTTAAATACGTGTTCTCTCAACACCAACATACCAGAACCTGAGTTCCCAGCCCCCCAGTTTTGGCCCAGTCCACTACCTGCCATCTCCAGCATTTAGAGACTGAATTAGCAAATTGGGCGCTTTATCCATGTCTCTCAACCTCTTATTAAACTGAAGCAAAACAGCAAGGATAACCAAAGTAAACAAGTCTACAGACCTCCGAAATTAGGAGTTCACTTAGCTGAAACAGAAACGGTTTAAGCAGCTTTATTTTCTAAAGTTCATAACAGTTCTCACCTACATGAGAATTAACCTCAGCTTGACTGTTATTCCAATCAAGTGTTGAGTAATCAGTACAGGAAGCTGTTCCCAGCTCTGTCACTGCGTTTAGTGAATGAGACCCCCTGAAAGAGCAGAGGCAGATTCCTCAACAAGCACAGCCAGCCAGGTTTTAAATGAAAAGAAATTAACTCTGTACCATTTCTTGTGGGCCAATGGATTAAGGCAAAATTCTAATGTCTGAAGAAATTGGTTTCTACATTTGATAAATTCTGATATCAGAGACTTTGTGGCAGCACCAAAACAATATCCCAGGCAGCATATGCACATCTGGAAGAGCCACACTGGAGACATACCTCCCCCCTTCCACGTCATCAGCTGTAAAGCACTCTCCCAGCCCCATACCTATCATGTCTGCTTTTCTTGGCAGATAAATCATCTCCAGGAGCAGGTCTTCTCTTTTTCCTTGGTGGCATCACTTTATTAAAGCAGTCCGAAGAACTGCAAGACCGCAGATATCCTACAACACAAATCCAAAACACACAAATTAAGGTATGTTGCATCATAACACTTCCAAAGTCCATTACTGCTAAATTAAAAACTGACATTGCTTGGAAAAGGTTTAGATGTTATCTGCAAATGCTATGAAGGAAGAAAATAGCTTGTAGTTTCTTTTTAAAATCATTTTAGTCAAGAAATAAACCTGACAATAACAAAAGTTCACTTTTCCACTGCCCCAAATCATACCAGAAATAAAACTAACTACAATTTAATTTACTCTCTGAAACCCCTGATATGTCATCTAAGCTTTCCACTTTTACTGCCCATGTTCCTTCAACAAGAATTCTGCTGCCATCTCATTTATACACTTGATGAGTCAAAACCAGCTCAACCAGTTATCAATTCTAAAATACATAAAATCACATCAATCCCAGTAGTCCTAGGTTTTAAGGGATATATGATATATTACAGGATTTGGGTTTTGGGAACAGAAATCTGACATGACCTTAAACAAAACTTCCACAATAATTGTGTGTGTGTTTCTGCCATCTAAAGATGATTCTGCTACTTTCAGTCACGGTTTTCGATAAAGAAGCATGACTTCCATGTGGTAGAAAATATTAAAATATAAAAGCCACAGATGATAATGACAGAGAACACTTCTCAAGGCCTTGCTGGAACACAGGCCCTGTTCTTAACTTGCAGGTAATAACTCATTTAAACTCAGAGTAAGTCTCTGAAGAAAGAACCACTATGGCCTCAAACAGGCAAGAAAGCAGAGGCAGAGGCAGGCTAGGGAAGTGACAAATCTGCAGTCGAAACCCAGGCAGTTTCAGTTCAGACAAAGCATTATAAATCATAAGATAATTAAAATATTACATTCTTGACCAAAGTGCTACTAACACATGTCATTCTGTTCATACAATGACATGGGATGATAGGCGAGGCAAAGATAATTACTTATCTTTAACAGGAAAATAGACATTCAGGTGATTTTCCAAGGTCTTGGAAGTCAGAGGTAGTGAACTGGACCCCACTGTCCCTTTCCATGAGGTTCTAGGTGAATGCACTGGCTGCACAGCAAGCCAGGGCGACAAGAGACAGCATAAGGGTGCTGGGGCTGGAATAAGCTGCAATCAGTCTAGCCTCTCACACAACTATGTGAGTCAGCCAATCACAAACCCTTTCTGGGGCTCGCATTTATCACTTGAAGAATGAGAGCTGTGCTCTTGGTCACGTGCTTCCATTGCTCTGGCACTCCAACTCTTGGCCTCCCCAGTACCTCTGAGGACAGGTGTCCCCTGAGCATGGACCCTGTGTGTCTGTCTTCCTCATCATCTGTTCACTGCCTGAGTGGGACAATGAAGACAGCAATGCTAAGACGCTTTGTATTTCTAATTTGTGTACTATCGGGAGTTCGAGGAGAGGTGAGACCTAGCATTAGTAGAATGTGAGCAGAGAAGCCAGGGAAAGGTGAATGTCTGCAGCTTTGGAAGTGTGTCCAGGTTATTCGTTGCATGTCTCTTAGGGTAACTTATACTGTTGGGGAATCTGGGACATAGGTCTTCAGCTTAATGGATGGACTTCAGGGTAATGACCATTTGTTCCTCTTGGAACATGATTGGATTTCCATATGGACTTGTGATTTGCTATTTCTAGTGTCCTCTGTTATCACCAGGCTTGGTTAATAAAGACTCCTTAATAAACCTTAAAAAAAAAATGAGAGCTGTGACTTGTCCATCCTCAGATTTTATGAAAAGGAAACATCCCTTCAATAAAGAGCTCAGGTGCCAGGTTTTATGCTTGGAGTTGGTGATGTAAAGAAATGGGTTCAAGTGGCTCCACGGAGGCAAGCAAGCTCGCAGTGCTCATGGCTGGCCTTTGCATCCACAAAATCAACCCAGTACATTCGCATGCAGGTATTATTAGCACCTCCATGTTTATATATAAGGAAACTGAAGCTCAGAGAGATTAAGCAGCAGCTGGAAAACAGTCCCCGAGGCAGAGGTGTGAGCCAAAGCTCTCAGCCACCATTTGCTGCCATCTCTGTAAGGCTACACAATCAGAGACTGGGAAGCACGTAACTCAGGACAGAGCCCTGGGGAGTGTGGTTTTCACGCAACTAGGAAAAGAAGGCATGAATCTGAGCTGGGAGAGAACTCGGGCCATCGGTGCCCTGGCAGGAAAAAAGCATGTGTCAAGTAGGGAGTGTTCACTGAAGCACAGAGGTCAACTCAGGTGACGGGGGAAGGCACACCCTGGGTTTCTCAGTGAACAGCCAGCAGATACTAGCAGAGGAGACCAGGCTGCAACAGGCCAGAGACAGATGCCAGGTGAGGCAGTGGACATGGTGAAGGTGAACATGTGTTCTGAAAGCCTGGAGGGAGTTGGCAGCAGCCACCAGTCACAACCCTGCTAAAAGCAACCATCAGAACTAGATCCTGAATTCACTTCAGGTTGTGGCTTCTATCACTGTGACATGCTTCAGGAACACTGCAATGGGAAACATGTGTGAGAAACCGGCCCTGTAGCCCAGGATGAGGCTCCTGCCCATGCCTCCTAATGATGCATGGGCCAGGTTCCCCATTGTTCCCTCCACACAGAACCAAAACCTAAACAGGTCTAAACAGAACCCTCAGCCACCTTTTCTAGAGGTCCAACTTGATCCTATCCTGCAATGGGCAAGAGTATAGGGTTCTTTAGACACAGCAAATACCCATTTCTCCCCACAACAACACGGAGACTAGAAGAAGGAACCAGAGAGGGCACTTATCAGTTGCACACCTCATTCATCACCCTTATAAACCAGTGTCTTCTTCACAAACAACACTGATACACTGTGGCTGGTTTAAGTCCTGGCTCTTTGGCTTCCAATCTAGCTTCCTTCTTAATGCACACCCTAGGAGCAACAGGTGGTGGCTCAAATACTAAGGTTCTTATAACCCACACAAGAGACCTCTAGGCTTCTGGCTTTAGCGAAACACAGCTGTTGCAGACCATTTGGGGAGTGAACTAGCAGAAGATCTCTGTTTCTCTCTCTCTGTTAACCTTTCAAATAAACTTACAATAATTTTTAAAATGCCATCTCTTAGCTAACAGGCAAAACTTTTATTCAGTTCTACTGTAATCATCAGCTTCAGCCAGTGACTGTGTATGGAACCATTGTTCACATGTCTACTCATCTCCCACTGACCCCTGACCTTCACTGGCATTCTCTGACTCAGCCTCACAGCAGCCTCACAGGAAGAATGAGGCAAACTCAACCCAGGGAAGGGATGTTCCCAAGGACCAGACAGCTTGACTCTTCAAGAACCCAGGGTAATAGTGTAAAGTTTCAGACTACATCAAAAGTATATTTTTTATGCTATGGAAAATAAGTAATAATTTGCCTACATGAACTAAAAAAATCAACAAAATACACACAGAGCACACAACTAAGGCAATTTGCCAGGACCCTAAGTGGCAGGAGCAGCAACTAGGTTTTCAACTGCATGTACAAAAAAGCACATCTTGGCCTACAGGGTCCTGATTGGTTCACTGCATACCCAGCAGCTGACAAAGTATCTCATTACTGTAATAAGATACAGGCATGACTGAGTCCTACAGCACACTCTCAATATTTGTTGACTAAATGTGTTCCTAAAACATATATAAATCAAATTCTGCTAAAAAAAAATCAGTACATTTCCACAGACATAAAGCACCCTAATAAATGCATAAGACACCAACATTTCAAAATCCCTTATTCATCAGTTAAAAAACAATTTAAAAAAAAAATTCCTCATAAGAATTTTTAAACACAAATATTTGAGGAGTGTTTGCTTCTTAATATGATCTGCAAAGTCTTTTTATAATAAAAATATTTAAACCTAAGTGAATATGTTCTACAAATTTATATTCACTTGTATTAAATATAAACTTCACATTCAGAATTTGCGACACCTAGACTACTACAAACTAGAGAAAAGTTTTAGTGAGCAAATAAGACAAAATTAAATAAATATTTTTAACTGACCATATTTTCAAACAAGAGTAATTGAATGAAGTCCTTCATCCCACGTTAAGCAGCTAGAAACACAGCCAACATCTTTTAACAAGTCTATCCAGGTGTCTGTCCCAGAAACTCAAATTTTAAAGGACATCTTGAGTTTGCCTGGCTGAGACTAAAGACCCTTTAACGTCTATGCAGCTTGCTGTTTTATGCAGCTTGTTTTGGTAAGAAATAAGGATGCTATTCTTTATAAATGGTGTCTTACCACCTTTTTTTTTTTAATCTTTTTGCTTGATGGGCTTTAAGAAAAGAAACCCTGTCAGGATTAATTCTCATAAACATATCAAACTGTGAGCCCAATTTCCAAACATCCTCAAGCAGGTCTACACAGCCACAGAATTTTTTCTAACTTATCCAAACTTAATGCAAATGCCAAGTTCCCAACACAAAAATCCCTGTCTAATTTTTCACTTTTGTGGGCTTGTCTCATGACCTTGCTTCACTTAGTGACATTTTACAAGGACCATCCTGCCACTTTAGGACTTGTTACAAACCTGTTTTACTCACTTCTCAGTGAACAATGTCACAAAGACACAGCAATTTAGGTTGCTAAATAGGTTGCTTTTTAAGACACCCTACCAGCACCTGATATTTCACTATCTTGAACAGAACAATGAACTACTTGCTTGCTTGAGTAAAACTGTTTTTAAATGCACAAGTTCTCAACCTATTTAAGACAAAGAAATTTCCTCACCTTTCCCCATAAATAATACTTACATCTTCGTCTTCCTTCCTCAGATCTGTGTCCTTTGCTGGGCTTTTTATTTTATTTCACACCCTCTATTTTGAGCTATTTTTTCTAAAATCAGCTACTAATTTTCTTCTATCCTCTTCTATATCCCTCCACTTTCACTTTTGATGGGAAGTAGACTAGGCACCAAGGAAGAGTGTTAGACAAGACAGAACAGAGAGAACCGGGCTCCTTCTGACGCAGGCCTGGTCTTCTACATCCTGCTCAGCCCATGGCTGGGCGAGCACAGTCAACAAAACATGACAGCGATTCGACTTTGTCAGATTTTCAAACATCACAAATATGTTGCTTAATTTTTAAATATATATCCTTTTGTGGATGGGAATCACAAGAAAGGCTCCAACCAGGTAGGAAAATGCTAAATGGCCTCCTTGAAAACATTATGAACACTAACCAACCCTGGGTACTTTCTGAAGTACCAAGCACTGCACCAGATAATCATACTCCAAATAGCTAGCACATCTACTTTCCCCAAGGGCAAAACAAAAAGCATCAGTCATACATACTTTCCCCTTTTGTCTTAATCATAAGTCATGAAAACTGTGAGAGATGTTATATTTTTCCTTAATTGTTAAAACTAACCCTGAGGTCCCAGTGCGATTGCAATGGCCTAGTGGCTGGATCCTCACTTTGTACGCACTGGAGTCCCATGTGGGTGCTGGTTCCTGTACCAGCTGCTATTATTTCCCATACAAGCATTATTTCTCCATGCTTGTGGCCGGGGAAGGCAATAGGGGAAGGCAATAAGGGAATGCCAAAGCCTTGGGACCCTGCACCCGCATGGGATACCTGGAAGAAACTCCTGGCTCCTGGCTTTGGATCAGCTCAGCTCTAGCTGCTGAGGACCCTTGGGGAGTAAACCAGTAGATGGAAGATCTCTGTCTCTCCTTCTCTCTGTACGTCTGCCTTTTCAATAAAAATTAATCTTAAAAGAAAAAAAAAAACTAGCCCTGAAATATTAATTTCAGCATTACTGGTAGTAGCTAAAAATGAAACATACAAATGTCTATGAATTGGAAGCTGGACAAACATACTTGTATTTCCTAGTATGGGTCAGGAAATCACACAGCCATTGCAAAAGAAAAGTGATGCTTTATAAATGTGTTACTGTGAAGAGATCTCAAAGACACACTAAGTAAGTGACAAAAAGAGACACACATACAAATGTACACCTAAATTTAAGGGGAAAAGTAAGAGTTACCTTTGGAAAATCAAGAAGGGAGGACGAGTAAAGGGTAGAAGACAGAACTGGTAAAAACAGGACAGAAGCCTTTATTTTTTGCATTATACATTTCAAGTGCTTCATTTAAAACCACATGCATACTCAGGGTTAGACACGGAAGACAAGACGCCACTTGGGAAGTCCACATTTCCTCCCGGAGTGACTAAGTTCAAGTCCTAGCTCTGCTCGTGTGTCTAGGTTCTTGCTAATGCACACCCATGGAGGCAGCAGTGATGGCAGAGGTGGCTAGAACCCTGCAATCCATTCTGGGAGACCTGGACTGAGTTTGCAGTTCCTAGCTTTGGCCCGGAACAGTCCCCGTCATTGCAGGCATTTGTACATGAATCAGTAAATCCAAGCACATGCTCTTATTCCGTCTCTCCCTCTCAAATAAATAAATGAAGTCATGTGCATATATTGGTTTACAATTACTAAGGAAACTGTTTTTGACTGCCCTTGAGTTGATCTGAATTTACTCATATGAAAGGACCATGTGAAGGATCCTCAATACCTGCAGACCCCAAGAACACGCCTGGAAGTCTCTGCCACCTCTCAATTCTTCAGGAAGGAAGAGTGGTTTGACGGATGACCAGAGATCCACAAATAAGCAAACAGCGCGGCACCTCTGAACCCTGCTAGAAGAGTACCTCCAGCCAAGCAGGCAGAAAGGAAAGGAACCCTTCTTCTGTCGGAGGGCCAGCTGAGAGCAAGGTAGCAGGTAGGCTGGCCTGTGCTTATGTAGCTGTTGCAATGACCCCGTTGAAACACTGAAAAGCCTTCCATTCTTGCTATATACCTGAGTTGTACAACAAAACTTTACTTCAGTCTGCATTTTATAGCAAAATTTGATTCAGAACCAATTTCTGAATCTCAAGAGTCTCCCAAGAAATACCTTGAATAAAAAATGCAGGATTCCATGTAGAGTACTACATCCGTGATGCTAAATTAACAAACATCACTGTAAACACATACATAGAAGTGTCTGCAAGACACATGTACATCTAACAGTGTGCTGGGAAAAAAGTCTGGGTCTGGGCCACATGAAACAGATCTGTCATTTTTCACTCTATTTACTTCTATGCTATCCAAATTCTCCAACAAGCGTTACTAGGGCCAGTCTGCGTGTGCCCCTCCAATTCGTATGTGGCTCTCCAATTCTCAATGTGTTGCTATTAAGACAGCTGGGACCTCTGGGAAGGAATGTCACCCAGAACTTTGAGGACAGGAGCATGGACCCCATGAAGATGATTAGGGCCTACAAAGAGGCCTGAGAGAGCTGCCTGCCCCTTCTGCCAAGAGCCACCATCAATGAGAAACAAGTCTCAGCAGACACACCATCTGCCAGGCCTCAGTGTCAGACTCCCCCGCCTCTGGGTCATGAGCACACACCTTGACTGTTTCTGACCTACGAAGGGTAGGGGAAACTTTGACAGTAGCCCAAGCCGACTAACACATGCACAGATTCCTACATTACTGTGCCTTGATTTAGGATCATATTAATATTTTTTTCTGCAAGTTTCAGAGTTTTATGGTTACTAGTAACTCGAGAGAGCTGGTTCTCCAGACCAGCAACACCAGCACCACATAGCAGCCTGTTAGAATCACCAACTCTGACCTGCTTGCTCTGCTTCCCAGCCGCCTTCCTACTAACACACATCCTGGGAGGCAGCAGGTGCTCAAGCACTCGGGTGCATGTCTGCACTCAGAAAACGTGCAATAAATTCCAGGCTCCTGGACTGGGCCTGGCCCAGCTGCTGCTGCCATTTAGAGAGTGAACCAGCAGAAGGAAAATCTCTCTGTATTTGTCTCTCTCTCTCTGCCTTTCAAACAAAATGGAAACAAATTAAAAAAAAAAAAAAAAGGAATAAAAATGAAGATGAGAAAAGAAAAGAATTGCAGCCTCTCAGGCCTCATCCCAAACCTAAAGAATCAGAAACTCCAGGGATTGGGACAAACATTTTGCATTGAGTGAAGACGTTGCTTAGGGTTCCTCCATCCCACTGAGAAGGGGCAGGGTTAGAGTCTGGGCTCCACACTGAATTCCAGCTGGTGTGGCCACTTGGAGAACGAATCATCAGAGAGAAGATCTTTCCTGTCTCTCCTCCTCTCTGTATATCTGACTTTCCAATAAAAATAAATAAATCTTGGGAAAAAAAAATAGCGCCTATATAGAATTCTGGTGTAACAAGCAGGGGGTTAATCAACTATGCCACAACACCAACCCTGCAGTCTGTGTTTTAAACAAGTCCTCCTCAGGTCACTGCAATGCTGGCTGAACTTTGAGAATTGCAGCGCTAGAGAATAACTTGTGTCAATCAAAATCCCAAATTTAATCATTCATAAAGCTACAGAAACAATGCAAGACACACACACATTCCTATTAATCAAATCCTCTTGCAGCTCAATTTAACAAATATTTATGAAATACTTTACAAATTGTATTGCTGTAGCACATTTTCAGCATAAACTAAAATATTTCCACAAAGCAAAAAAAATGCCACTGTTTTGAAATCACAAGAGAGAATCCCCTGCCTTTCACAGAGATTAAAGTGGAGCTCCAGAAGAGACTTCTTACTGAGAAGGGGCTATAATGGCTGCCTTCACTGTGTCCTGAAAAACACGTTCAACCAAGTAACAACTTGTTAATCAAGTCTACCGCGATGATGCAGAGCATCTGTGGCTAGTATTTCTCTTTTATAAGTAAACGTTTATGGATACCTGTTTGGTGATCGTCTTGGCCAACGTCTTCCGTTAAGTTCTGCAAGAAACATGTTCATTATTAAAGATATCACATACCACATGGCAGCTTTAAAAATTCACTATTTTCATAAGCAGTTGACATTGTGATATCCACAATATAATTTTTATCAAAATCTTACATGAAATGCCTACTTGATGCAGTTGATAGTCTTAGCTTTAGAAGACTGACTTACTAGCTTATTAAGGGTGTGGTAGATCTTATGAATGTTTGCCAGTGTTGAGAGATGAGAGTTCAGCTGAAAGTCTTTAAAAAAAAAAAACAGAAAATTCAATGTTATTTCCCAAACTGCAAAAAAGGCTGTTAAAAAAGTTAAGACAAATGTTTTGATACAGTGAATATTATCTCAATTACTTTGATGCTTTAAAAAAAAACATACAATTACTAATCCATCTAATAGACATAAAGTCTGACAGTAAGGTTAAATTCTCAACCAAATGCTAAAAAGTTCATGAAAGTTTTATGTGAATTCTAAAGCAAAAATACTTCAGTAGCTACAAAATTCTTACAATAATGAACTGGAACTTAATAGAAACATATCAATAATGTTAGCAAATTATGAGTTACACAAACAGAAGAGATCTCAAATGAAGTATTCCCTGTCCCCTTCCCCTTTCTATAGTCAGAATTTCTGGTACAATAAGCAAACTCCCAGCAAGAAAATGATACCGGACAATCACAAGGTTCAACACTTCTTATATGACTAGCTTGTTTTTACAGTTAAAGCAAAAGCTAAGCCCTCCCACACTTCCCAAACAAGCCAGATAAACCGAAGATACCTCCTGCAGGCTTCCAGTCTCAGAGAGCAGAGCCCAGGGATGGGGCCTGTTAAAGTCTTTGCAAGCATTGCAGTACTACATGGCACCCAGAAACAGAACCAGAGACAGAGCTCTCTTCCCCAGAAACACATGTGGGTCAGGGAGTGGAGGCCTGCATCCCCTCTCCACACCTGAGTTCCACTCAAGTCATGCACAAAGACAAGTGAAATTGCTCCATCACAAAGTCCTGCACATCCTAAAATCCTAAGCCGAGTTACTGACTTTAATCCTTATTTTCAATGTTTGTAGAAGTTAAGGACACTTGCCTATCTAGTATGCTATATGCATACAAGTTGAAAGTTTATGAATGAGCATCAATAGAAGCTTTGTCAGGAAACAGCAGGATCTGTGTTAGTTTATTTTCTTTCCTATCATAAAAGTTAGCACGAAAATGACCTTGAAAAGATATTATAACTCTCCAAGTTATGCAAGGAAGGAAGGAAGGAAGAAAAAATAATCACCCTTTCCTGGAATCTTTATTAGGGACACCACATACGTGACATGAACAGAGCAGATATTACAATAGAAGTTGTCTGTACTATGGCTACAACTTGGAGGGCTACTACTTGCAATTTAGAAAGCAAGTTGATCCTGTGCCAGTGGTTAGAAAGCTTTGCTCTCATCTATGCTGGAAATGCAGGACAGAGGAGTAAGTGGGCAGGCAGCAGAGTCCCTGGTATTACCTGCTGGAATCAGGAGCAGCAGCCACACCTGCACACGTACACGTGCAATGCTCCAGCAAACCCCATGGCAGCCAATAGCCTCACACCAAAAGGCCATCGAGAAAGGTCCAAAGAAACAGTGCTGGGAGCTCCAAGAGAGAAAGATTGAGTACTTTCACTTTGTTTAGCTTCTCATATGTGAGAAGCTCCAACCAGGCCTCCTATATAGACATGTGTCAATCATTTGGCACCTAAATAGTCCAGCCTTGTTGAAAATAAATGATGGCAGCATGGGACATGGAATCCTAGTGTTTTTGTCTCACTGAGTACAACTGCACAGGAAATATGTACATGAGTAAGCACAAGTCTGTGTGTGGACAGACAGACTGACTTAATTTATGTTAAACAGCATGTATAGGAATCTTTCAAGCCAGAAAATATGATCCTTTCTTGACTTGCTAAAGGTCATGAGGCACACCCATGTATACACTTCTCCCATCTACTATTAAGCCATACCTCCCTTTAATTCTGCCAATTAAAAAATGTAAGACAAACATTCTATTACCAACTTAAAACACAAATTAGATTTCTGAAACTCCTGAAGAATCAAATCAAAACCTTAGACTCTAGATTGTCTGTCTCTTCACTGAGCTCCCCTCCCACCTGGCCGCAGCAGGAGGGATGAAAGAAAGGAGCTTCCCCAAGGCCAATGCTGCAGTGAGGTCTCTTCTGATTCCCAAAGCTATCCTTTTGTCATTTCATCACCCTGCCCATAATTCAGCTCTCAGAATTCACATATGAGAAGCTAAAGTGAAAGTACTCAATCTTTCTCTCTCCTTAATATGAATATGGAAGGAATAGAAACCTTGGGATTCCTGGACTTCCATGAATTGGGCTGAAAATTTAAAAAGTTCCCATCAGCACACTACTCCACAAAACCCTTCTTTCTAACACCAGTTGGCCTGCCCATCATTGTCCGTAAACTCTCAGAGTCCAGTATGCACACGTGTTGCATGTGCACACACACTTAACATTGTTCCTGTCTAAAATATCACTCTGCATGACAACCAGACCCAGAGCCCAGTAGTTGGTTCAAATCTCAGGTCTACCAGTTATTTAACCTTCATTTCCATTTCCTCATCTGTAAAGTGAGACTAAAAAATGACTTTTCATAGTAATGTTGTAAGGATGAAAACACGCAATCAGACGCCTTACAATGCCTAGACGTCACAATATCTGGGACATAGTAAGTGCTCAACCGGGATACAAATTACAACTGCATCTGCATACTGTTCCCCACCATGACAGAGCTGTCTCAAATAGCTTCTCTCTTGTGTTGGCTCAACTCGAGTCCCTCTTCAAGGATTGAAGAGGTCCCTCTGTGATGGCAGCAAGAGGCCTGATATAGCTCTAAGGCCTAACCTAAAATGGCACTGTGATATTCACAGGTCACTGCTGATGTTTATAGTGATAGATGTAGGTAATCACAATATCAAGTTCTATACATAAAGTTTCATTTTATCATAGGTTCAGATCACAAACCAAGTACCATATATTAGCAATTACCCATTTCCATATCCAATCCCTACAACTACTTTCAATTCACCCAAATAAAGAAGGGGAGAAGAGGAAAAGAAAAAAATTAATACCACAAACATAAATAATTCTTCAGTTTCACCAACATAATGAGAAGTTAAGGAGAAGACACAAACTCAGGAGGAATAAAAAAACTACATTAAAACATATACTCAGGGCCCGGCACCATGGCCTAATGGCTAAAGTCCTCACCTTTAACGCGCCGGGATCCCATATGGGCACCGGTTCTAATCCCGGAAGCTCCACTTCCCATCCAGCTTGTGGCCCCGGGAGAGCAGTCAAGGACAGCCCAAAGCCTTGGGACCCTGCACCCGTGCGGGAGACCTGGAAGAGGTTCCTGGATCCTGGTTTCGGATCGGCATAGCATCGGCCGTTGTGCTCACTTGGGGAGTAAGTCATCGGACGGAAGATCTTCCTCTCTGTCTCTCCTCTCTGTATATCTGACTTTCCAATAAATAAAATAAAATAAAATAAAATAAAACAAAACATATACTCAGGGTTTGGTGCAATGGCTTGATTGGTTAATCCTCCTTCCAAGAGCTGGGATCCCATATGGGTGCCAGTTTGTGTCCCAGCTAATCTACTTCCCATCCAGCTCCCTGCTTGTGACCTGAGAAAGCAGAGGAAGATGGTTCAAAGCCCTAGGACCCTGCACCTGCGTGGGAGACCCAGAAGAAGCTCCTGATTCCAGGTTTCTGATCAACTCAGCTCCAGTCATTGCGGTCACTTGGAGAGTGAACTAGTAGATGAAAGATCTATTTGTCTCTCCTCTCTGTACATCTGTCTTTCCAAGAAAAATAAATCTTTAAAAAAGATTCCATCAGGTTAACAAATACTGGATTTATAGTTCATCTGTTTAGTGCTCAGGGCAAGTAATAGACCTTAAATATCTAAAGTAGATTTCACATCATTGAGGCATAGATGTTAAAGGTAATGAGCAGATGTTTTACCCAGAACCTATTTAGGAAACCACTGTTTCACGAAAATTTCCTTCTGTTCATATTTGAATTCCAAAGGATAAATGCTTGAAATTAAATCAACTATATTCTAGGATCAAATTGCTTGCCATGGTAAAGCAGCAATTGGATGTTATCCTCTCACAGGGCATGCAAACTCTATATTGCATCTTCAAAGCAACAACTGGCTCTGCAAAAAGGCACTACCTGCTTGCCCTCATTACCTTCTGAGAAGTCTTAAAATTATCCAATACATGTTGTCTGGACATAAAATTCCTTGGTTTTGTTGTTTCAATTACCATTTGTCGTGACGTACACAATATAAAAGAGGGAAAGTGACCACTGCTACACTACCCTTGTGATAGAACCCACATTATAGGCAGACACATAAATATGAGGTGGAAAAAAACCACCACTAGTAAGCACAATGACTGTTAACAAAGGAAATATTAACAAATGACAAGTCCGGGAGCAGGCACACAGCACAGCAGTTAAACCACCTGACTCCCACAGTGGAGTGCCGGGTTTGAGTCCCACCTCCTTGTTAATGAACACCTGGAAGGCAGTAGGTGAAGACTCAAGCACCTATGTCCTTGCCATCAAGATAACAGTCCTAAAATGTATGTCCACAAGAGGGTCAAAACCAGAAATTAAATTCACCGGCAAAAGCTTCCCCTTGTATCATAGTCACGTGTGAAATATAACTGGAAGATTTCCATTGTAACAGCAACAAAAGGCAACAGCACAATTAAGGAAATAAAACGTTTTTTTAAAAAATCAATCAACAACTTGAAGCAACAATAAAAGTTCACCGAAGAACTGAAACATAGAGATGATATCTTTCTGGAACGAATGAGACCAAACCTGGGAAAGCAATCCAACCTTCTTCACTAACCTGTAAATTAAACGCAAGCCAAGTTCTGTTATGCCTGCTCCTCAGTTCTCCACCCCAAAAAAGAAGTGAGGAAAAGGAAGGTAGTCAGGCAAGAATGGCAGATTGGCACGAGGGTTCATTGGGAAGAATAAACATGCTAGACTGGCACAGAAATCATCAAAGAGACCCAAGATGGTATAAAGCAGATGCTGGTAGACTCTCCATAAAGGGCCAGAATATATATATATTATATATATGTATATATTATTATATATTATATTATATATATTATATAATATCGTCTTTCTGGGCCATATCTCTGTTGCAGCTAGGCAATTGGGGCTAAAACACAACTAAAAACAATACATAATGAGTATGACTACTTTCTAATACAACTTTGCAAAAATCAAGCCATGAGCCAGATTTGGTCTATGCGCCATAATTTTGCCAATTCCTGCTATAAACATGCGATACGTTTAACACAAATGCTTTGTGATGATCAGGAAAATGATTAGTTAAACCTGAAAATATCAGAGGTCAGAGGGGGGGTTATTGAAAAATAATGACTTGAATGCCCACCCCCCAAAAAAACAAACCCTAAATGAAATGTTATTATCATCAGCATTCACTATAACTGTCTCTGGATCACAGAAAAGATGTGAGCCAGTGGCACAGGCCTGCCTCCCAAGATCCAACCTGGGGATGCACCAAGGGCAACGAGGACCCCTCCTTATCTTACTAAGTGATACAGGAGAAGTAAACAAAGTGCTGTTCCGGTCCAGGTGCTGTGCTTGGGGTCCATTGCTGAGGTCTGCCTTGACTCCTTCCTTACACAACAGACACTGGTGTCTTCCAGGGATTTGGAGCACAGACCCCTGTCAACCCAAAAAGGACATGTAACAACCTTTGATTTCAGTCACCGAGATTTTGGACTTCTTAATGAAGCACTCAAAAAAAAAATTAATAAATCCTTACAAAATCTTAAATGATCTATCCTAGATTATCTTTGCTCACTCCCTTCCAGCCACATGCCTCCTTAAATACTCCAGTGAGTCCCTGCCCCAGGGCATTGGCATCTACTATGCCTGATATCCAGCTCTATGATCCTTGATGTTCAAAATGCCTGACAACCATCTTTACTAAAATACCAAAATGGCACCTCCTCAGAGATCTTGCCTGTCCAAAACATTACCTCCACCTCCCTACTGAATTTAAATTTTTTTCACAGAACTTTTACTTCCTGATAATACACTGATTGTTTCGTTAAGATAAAATTAACATATCAAACATTTCACACATTATTTTTTAAAGTTTATTTTATTTTCAAAGTCAAGAGTTTCAGAGAGAGGGAAAGAGGGAAAAGAGCAGATAGAGAGATGTCTTTCATCCAGTGCTTCACTCTCCAGAATCCTGCAACAGTCAGGGTTGGGTGAGGCCAGAGCCAGAAGCTTTAACACAGGTCTCCTACATGGTGGCAGGAACCAAACACTTGGGCCATCTTTTTTTTTCAAACCATTACCAGGAAGCTTGACTGAAATGGAGTAGCCAGGTCATAAACTGATGCCCACATGGGATGCCGGAATCACAGACACTGGCTTTACCTGCCACTCCAAAATGTTAGCACCTCAATTCATACAGTTAAATGAGCCCAGGGCAGGCATCTGACACAGCAGCTATGATGCCCACATCCCATGTCGGAGTCCCAGGGTTTGAGTGCTGGCTCCACTTCTAATTCC